ATTTATATTATTTTTATATTTGTTTACCTTATGCAAGTTGCATTCTCCTCCCCCCTCCCCCCACACCATCATACACACTCAGAGCCGGCGTTAGGAATACGCGGGGCCTAGGGCCAACCATCCGCGCGGGGCCTTTCCATTATATATATATATATATATATATATATATATATATATATATATATATATATATATATATATATATATATATATATATATATATATATATATATATATATGTGTGTGTGTGTGTGTATATATATATATATATATATATATATATATATATATATATATATATATATATATATATATATATATATATATATATATATATATGTATAAAGGCCTATATAATGTGATGTACACATAATAACACAAATGTTTTGGAGTTTATAAGCTAATGTCAAACTTTCCACTATAATAACAGATTTTTATCTCTCCCATGTATTAACCCAATGTTAGTAGTTTTTTTTTCCTTTGCTAAGAAATCACTTTTAACAGTTATGTAATTCATCCCAAATCACTTAAGAAAATGTAATCACGTGCCGAATAATTAGGAAAATAAAGTTTACAATACAGCGAACTCGGCCTGATGTATCAAAAAAGTATAGACTTCAAAATTTGTTTAGAATTCATACAATATTTTAAAACCAAAATCATTATTGTCTTAATTATTGAACGGGTGAATCCTTAAGGTGACACAACATAACAACAGCTTTAACTTTCTTCCAAAAAATAATAATAAATCACTCTGTTTAATGCCGCCTGATATAGATCGTAAGCCCCCCCCCCCCCTCCTCGTCGCCCTCCTCCCACCCCTCTGCACGCAACTGAATGTTAATTTTGTTATACCAAGACAAGTAGGCCTACATATAGAGTTTCTTCCAGGCATCTCTTCGGGGGGGGGGGGTGGCAAGCGCCCCCCCCCCCCCTGAAAACGAAATGAAATTTATATAATTCATAGAGAAAATATATACTTTTAACAGTGTCCGCTCCCCCCCCCCCCCCGAAAATTTCAAGTGCCCCTCCCCCCTCCCCCGGAGAAAAAAGTCTGGAAGAAACACTGTACATATACGACATTATACGACATCTACAACAAAAAAGTCAGGACTAGATTTCATTAGGTCACTAACTGTCTACTATAGACATCCCGTCTGCTCACTAAAAGGACGTCTTCATCGGTCCGCATACAATAGGGTATCTCATTACGTCGTGGGCTAATTCTCGACCGCCATCTCCAGTCAGCTCAGGTCAAATGCCAGGCGACCGTACCCTACACAAAGGGAAGGTGTGACACTATTTTTGTATCGAATTACGGCCTGTCCCAATTCAGGTGGGACTCACCAACATCAACCGTGGCCTCAGTTATAACAATCAACAACGTCGGCATTCGACCATTTAGTTTTTCCCAATTGAATTCAGCAACAATTTTTTTTTTAAGTTTACGAACTAATTAAGATAACAATTACATTGCTGAAGCGCGGGGCCCCTTCAAGCGCGGGGCCTATGGCGACCGCCCCGTTCGCCACCCCCTAACGCCGGCTCTGTACACACTACTGTTCGTTGTTGTGTTTAGAGCTGCTATACACCAATGTTTAATCAGTGGATCTTCTTGTATAACAGTTGGATGTTCTTGTATAACAATTGTTCGTGTATAAGAGTTGGATGTTCGTGTATAACCGTTAGATGTTTTTGGATAACACCTGTATTACGTATATAACAGTCGGGTATTCTTGTATAATAGCTGTATGTTCGTATATAACAGTTGGGTGTTCTTGTATAACAGCTGGGTGTTCTTGTATAACAGCTGGGTGTTCTTGTATAACAGCTGGGTGTTCTTGTATAACAGCTGGGTGTTCTTGTATAACAGCTGGGTGTTCTTGTATAAAGTTGGATGTTTGAGTATGACACAACCCACGGTGTGCTATGCCTGTGTTTAAACAGGCTGTGTGCTTAGGTTTTCTCCCCTGACTAGATACAGTTCGAGTTTCCCCCCTTGACGAGGTTGAATAGATCTACGCTCGTACCCTGGTCTAGTGTTGAATCACTTGAACTGTCACGTATATTTGACGTGTCCAAAACTGCTGACATATGTCAGTATATTTGACTTGTCCAAAACTACTAACATACGTCCATTTTAGCGTGATTTCTAATATTTGTACTGACATAATCTTATTTGTGATCTAGTCTAGTGTCATTGTTAACACAAACTGACTTAAAGTCATATATGACCTGACTTTGACGTGATCTCCAACTGACATTGTGTCACGTGTGACATTAATTGGATCAAATCCTCAAAACTTTGCTAGAATGTTGAAATATTTTAGTTCTTACTTAAAAAAAAAATTAGCATATGTCTGGTTTTGTATTTAGCTATAGATGAAAAAAAAATGCATACAAAGCGACTAAACAAAACCAAATCGACATAGAATGTGTATATGTACACAGTGTAAGCGGCCATACAAAGCTAGATGTGCTAGAACATATTTTTCTATTGACTCTTCGTGTGACATGTGTCATTCAGGCGGCAGATGTCGGGCATTCATCTTACAAATTATTCGACAATTCCACGCTGATGGCTGAGTTAAGATGGATGATGTACAGGGTCTCTGTTTTAGCACAGACCACGGGGGGGGGGGGGGGTAGGGTTTCAAAGATCCTAGCTAGCACGTCGTACTGTTTTTAAACAATTAGGCGCATATGGCAAAGATCCTGTGGAGGTTATGTGTGTGTGTGTGTGTGTGCGTGTGTGAAGAGAGGGGGAGGGCGAGGGTATTTAAATCGAAAGGTTTTGTGTTCTTATAAATTAATCAGGTTAAAGGTAGCTTTAAGATTAAGGTTAGGGTTAGTGTTATGGTCTTTGGAGCGCTTAGGATTAACAAGTAGCGTTAATACAACACAGAGCTGCTGTATAGTAGGTCGAACAATTATTTAGAAGCGTGGGTTATGTAGACAACTTTCTCTTAACTATAAGAATATATATATATATATATATATATATATATATATATATATATATATATATAAGTGTGTGCAATGTATGCATACATTTTGAGAACCAGGGTACTCTGTGTAAAAGTGTGACAGAAAGTGTAACAGAACAGAGAAAGATATTTTTAACTACAGAGAAATCGTCCACCGCCACCGCCCACCCCGTTATAAGCCCCCCCCCCCCCAAGCAATGCGGAAATAAGCAGCAGTAACATAGCACGTAGCCGCTAGTTTTTTATCGAATTTCTCCAGCGCCATTGGTCGCGAAGGTAAACAAAGGCCCCGGTTTACCCGTGTTGATCGGTTGCCGTGCAGGGCGTGGTGATAACATGGGGGGTTGTGATGGGGCACAATTCTGTGGCCTGACTGTGGTTAGGGTATAACTGGTGTATAGAATATGGTGTGGTGTACCCTTTGGGACGGGTATGTGTGGGGTAAATGGGGGGGGGGGACAACACTCTAGCGAAGAAACGTAATGTTATCTCACAGCAGTTTTGTTCAAGTATGCAATTTATGACTCCGATAAGGCAGTAACGAAATATATTTTGTTTCGTTGAATAGGTCTGGAGAAGATTTTAATCTGCTTGTAAAAAAAGTTAGAATTATGGCTTTAGTGCTCAGGCAGGTGTGTGCATGTTGAAACATAAAGAACATGCCAACTTTTGTGTTTACTAATTAGTAAGGAAGCTTACATCACCTCATAAAAACTACACATAGGAACGGATATAAAAATAAAATAAAACGTGCTTTTATCAGCAATCCAATTATTTCTGTAATCATACACATAATGTTGATCTTTACAATGTTTGATTTGTTTTAATAGCTACATAATATAAAGTTAGGAGGCCTAAATTATGTTAATTTATTCAAACTGATGGTTGTTACTATTGGCTATTGAGATCGTTCTGTCTAGAAACTCAGGTGCAGGCAGGCTACGCCCATCCAACTATTTACATTCAATACCGTTGTGGAAAACATCGTGAGAATAGGTGAGCTTTGTTATCTTCTCACAAAAAGTGTGGTGATAGACAGTAATTGGATAGTGCAGCCTCAGTACGTCCGTCTATAGTACATAGTCAAGTGTGAGTACCTTTATTGTTGACTGTATAGCGGGGTGGGAATAAACAGACCCTTGTTTACAGGAGTGACCTTGATCTGAAGTGGGTTGTAAAATCGATAAAGCCTGGCCTAGCAGAAGTGGAGCCACCATTCATACGATTTCTATGAGCGACTTAGAAATCGGTGTACAGACTGGCTTTAAGATACGTAGTTGCGATTTGTCTTGAATGTGTTCATCATAAAATACGCGTGTCTGTTGAACTGTTTGTTTATATAAGCGGGGTGAGCATTGCTTTACAAATGCGGAGGTGGGGTGGGTGTGGGGTGAGTGGGCGTGGCTCTAGCAAAAAGAGAAGGTAAGCCTATTCGTTCTTTATATTTTCACAAGAAAAGGGCAACAAACTAGACCAAATTATTCTATTTGCTGTAACCGTTTTACTGGTTAAATCACGGTTAGGTAACAATTAAAACGTTTGCTGCCAGACATTTGCAAGCCCCAAGACTAGTATATTAAAATAAGAAAGGTTTGTTTTAAACAAATCTCTTTGTTTCTATTGTTAAACAATTCTCGCTTCTAAAATTTCTGGTAAAATTAATCTTCATACAACCTTAGTTTCTTTTGGTGAGTTTTAGTATTGGAAAATCGAATGACTTTAAACCTCTGCTGCAAGAACTATTTTGAAAAATTAAACATTTTACTAGATTAAATATTTTTTTCTTTTATATATATTCCAGAATGAAAATCTAAATTTGTTTACAGATATAATAAGATTTTTTTCGGAAGTAGAATCTAGATCTTATTATAAGTTAACGGGCTAGCAATTTAAAAAAAAATAACGATAACATTTTTAAAATATTAAACAATTTGAACGTTCAGAAACACTGTTATGAAAATCTTATAACACAAAGTAATAAAATAGCATAACAAACCAGACATTTTGACTTACCAGTTCAAAGATGTTTTTCTTCAACACCACGTGAAACCTCAGACGGTCGTGAACTACTGTAGACAATACGCTGGACGTGTAAGGAAGTAACAGCAGAGCGAACTTTACCAACTTTCCAATCATTGGCTGGATCGAAGGTCGATACCGAAGGTGATCGAACTTGTTGATTTGGTGGCGCTAGAGTTATCGCCGGGGAGAAGTAGCGGATTGCAATATTTAGTTGTTTTTTTGTTTTCTACAGAATCAGATGGTATCATGGTAGTAGCCAGCCTATCTGAAGTTGGCTCAAATATTCATTTAGATTGAAGAGTTAATGAACAGCATACATGAAACTTTTTTCTTTTCTTCTCCAATTTGACAGCGTTAATATGAAGTATATATATATATATATATATATATATATATATATATATATATATATATATATATATATATATATATATATATATATATATATATATATATATATATATATATATATATATATATGTATATATATATGTATATAAAATAAAAGTGGGCGTATGTCTACTTAAATGGCAGGTCTAAAGAATTGGCCTTTACCGCCTTTCTGGTACAATTTGACTTAACTTGTGTGTGGTTATGCGATAGGCTGGTGCAATGGTGGAGCAAACAATTGCCTGTCCAGATGTTTTGAGTTCGGTTCCAAAGAGTCTTCACTTGACTTTACTTCTTATTTCAGTTTTCTTATGCGCCATCAGGGCTTAAATGTAATTTACCTTTTGGATTTATTTTCCCGTTTGTTCACTTTGAACTGTAAATTAGTATAAACCACATACCCAATTATGGGGCGGTGTGGATTATTTGGTAGAGCACTAGGCTGCTAACCCGAAAGTCTCTAATCCGGGTTCAAGTCAGTAGAAAGTCCATGAGTCCACCCAACTCTGATGGGTACCTAACTCATACTAGGGAAAGTAAATGCGGCTGGGTAAAGTGCTGACCACACTTTCCACTTCATAGACCGAGGTCAAGAAACATATGAACTCTACTTCATCTACCCAATTGATCGCTAGGTCTAAAGAGGATTTTTAATTATTTTTTTAACCATACCCAATTATCGACAAAACATCCACTTCTATCTTAGAATTCACGAAATTCATTTGACCTGTATGTTAAACTTGTAACTTGCCTTAAATTTGGAACATAATGAACACCCCTAAAAATTCGCCAGTTCACCCCACCAACCAAAACATTGCCATCGATCGCGGGGAGGGGAAGAGAAGGCTGGGTCTTATTTCAAGAAAAATCGATTCTCTATTTTTATTCTTTTTTGTAGAGCTATTGCACTTCAAGTTTATTATTGTCGACGGGATTTTTTATTGGATAAATAATCCCTCGCTATGGTTGTAGACACAGCAGATAAATATCGATGACTCGCTAAATACTTACAGATTAAGTTTTTTTGTTGTTGAAGAATCGTACATTTTCTTTTACAAAATTGTCGCTTAAGTTTATTGAAATAAATATAAAAAACAACATTTCTTTCATAAGCCAGATGTGTTTTTGATTTCACTAAGATGGAAGATTACTGTTGTTCTATTCTGCTTGAACTGTTGAGTCAGGTTTTAATTATACTACTACTAAACCAAAGTACAGCCTACCCACAAATAGTTGGGGGGAAAAAGGGAGGTAATAGCACCACAGTCATCAGATATGAGGCTTATTGACGGATACCAACATTTAAGCTGACAAAAATGGTGGAATATATGTTGTATGTTCGGATGGAGGGGGAGGGGAGTGGGGTTTAAATGAGTCCCCATAACTCACTATCAATGAAACATACGCACAGCTTCACAGGTGAAAAATAATAAACTTTTAATCCATTACCCCTCACCCCATCTTAGGTAAAAAAAAAAAAGTTGAGTACGATTGAGGGAGAAGATAAAAATTCACACCATCAGTATAAAGAAATCCCCTCGTTATATAACATCTACCCACTCTAACGAAAACATGAAACGATATTTTCCGATAAAAGACTGAGGTTCAATGGGCGGGTTTTACTCGAGCATTACTAGCTCTATTACTAAAGAATCCCAGACATTTGGCGCCATCTAGCGAGCTGTCGGAGGGTCTCTGCCAGCGTTTACTCCCTGTAACCGACCCTCGGTAATCTCTACCCATGTTTCCTGTAAACTTGGCATCCTGAAACCACTTTGCACGTTTTATACCTGTAATACCTGGCGAGTCAAACACGTGCTATAGGTGATGCCGGTGACGCCCAGTTTGTGTATCATAGAAATATCAAAGGTAAGGAAGATATCGAAACCATCCGCGAAAATCTCGTCCGTCACGTGACTATAAAAAAGGGATATCGTTCGCTATCTACAGATGATAGAACCTCGGTAAAAAAAAAGGGGATTAAAAAAGAAACGAAACAACTATATACAGTACAGTATTGATCGAGAGCAGATAAAAAAGTTGGAATGTTTCCGAGCTGGCCCAGAGTTCTGCTAAACTAATAACATTCTCTTGAATGTTTCAGAACCAAGGAAAAATGATCCAGAAAATTTAAAAAAAAAATAATTTCGAGATAAAATTCGCTTTTTAAATTATTTGTAAAATGATGTTCAGCATACATTTACCAATTTAAAAAAAAAGATAAATTTAAAACCAACTGCCACTTCAGCATTCGACCTAGTAGGCTATACATATCTCCAACACATTTCATGTAGGTAAAAAAAAACATTGGTGTGTTAAGGTTTATTGTTGGTCTAAATGTAGGAATTCTCCCAAGGGGGCGTCCATATATGACGTCACACTCGTAGGGGGGAGGAGGGGGGGCGGTAATTTTGTGGCGGTGTGTGATGAGGGGGAGGAGGGTTTAGATGGTGTGACATCATACTTTTGCATTATAAAAAAGCAATGTTAGAAACCTAGTTTTAGCCGTTATATCGCGTTTTAGAAAACAGTTTTAATAAATTGTAATAGGAATTGATAAAAATACTAGATCTATATGTTGACAGAGTACTGACAAGATTTTGGAAAAATATCGATGTTTTAAGAAAAATTCAACAGCAATTTTGAGGGGGGTTGTAGACTGTGGTGTGACGTCATTTAGGGGGGGGGGTCTAACTTTTTGCGACGACGTGTGACGGAGGGGAGGGGGGAAGTAAAAATCGTCAAAAAAGCGTGACGTCATTTATGGATGTCCCCCCCCCCCCCCAAAACCCTATCTAATCACACACGCTTGATCACATATTGACGGTGGGTACACAATGTTATGTCAAGTCAGTGATGTATGTTTTATTTTTTGTTTCAATGGTCAATGAACGAAATACTGACTGTAACAAAATCGTTTTATGAAGTCAGACAAGGAAGTCACAGACGGCAGCACTACCCCGTGACGTCATAAGTCTTGTCACGTGACCGCTCTTCCCTGTGTGGCGAGCATGTTTGTTGAACAGGTCGAGGGGTGTGGAAAACATACATTGCCAATTGACGTTTGACATATACTTTTTGATCTAGAGCCCATCCGTTTCTGACGGTCTAAGGAGATATAGGGAGGGTCGTGACCTGGAGACCCCATTACTATTGGGGATAACAAGATGTTGTATCGCGAGGCTGGGTAAGGAGGGGGTGGGGAGCAAGACCATAAATATATGAAGGACAGGCAAAAAAAAAAAAAAAAAAAGAGTCCGCTCCGGACGCCAAAAAATACATGATGGGTACAAAGCTACAGTAGGAATATTTACAAGAATAACCTTTGCTTTATGGAATAAACTGCCCGGTATTTTGCGTCGTCTTCACGATTGGGGTTGACTGGGGGCCGCCGGGGCACTGGGAAAAATTCCGGTGGGTCGCAAGGAAAAAATCCCGGGGGACAACGAGGATCGGTTATGTCATGGGCATTGTAATGCTTTTATATATTTCCAGTGCAGCTTAGATACTGGCAGTCCACTTCTGCTTCTCGGTATTCTTTATGATGCTATCCGGGACAAGATGGGTGACTCAAGAGATTCTAGACAAGAGGAACGTTATGTGGCCATTGTATTGTATACAGGCTTGATAGGCACTTCTCTAGCTGTCATTGTATTGTATACAGACTTTGTGTGCACCTCTCTAGCTGTCATTTTGTTGTATATAGAGCACCTCTCTAATCGTCATTGTATTATATACAGATTTGATGTGCACCTCTCTAGCTAAGCAGATGATTTCTAATATAACCGATGTAAAGCACATATGAGAACAAACGAAACAAAATATTTAAGTTAATCATCATTTTGTGGGCCCGAGGCCTGTGTGGACTTAACAGCGGGTAGCTGCAGGACTAATCCATCGCTATTTGCATTACAAAACAGAAATTATAGAACGAATGTAGACACGGCTATGTTTAGTTTGACAAATTGAGTAGCAGAAAAAGTTAACATATAACGTTTACTTTTGTCAAATAAAAACTGCTTTGTAAAGTACAAAAAATTATTTTTAATAAAAAATTGTTTTAGAATACAGATGAAAGTTACACAGCGGAGAGGGAGAAATCATTTCACAAAATTTATTTTAGTTTATTTTACAAATTGGCCACAAACTTACACGGTCCTGGCCAAACACCAACACACTAGTGAACAAATGTTTACTAAGACATTTAACCTAGATCTAGGAACATTCATTAAAGCTAGAATCAAGTACACAAGTCTAGTAAGATTAAGATATTCACATTTAAATACAAACCTGGAAAAGGCTCTATACTAAATGTATCCTCACCCCTTACTAAGGTTGAGAACAGAAAAAAGAACGTTTTAATTTTAGCATTTTTATTAGGGGCAGACTAACATTTTTTTTCCATTTAGGCTATTTAAAATAATCTGTTTTTCTTGATTTTCAATTTTCAAGGTTAGATCTTGTTTAATAATTAATGTAAAATGCACATAAATCACATCCAAGATCCGAGAGTGCTTTTCCGAAAAGAAAATTGGACCATCTTTGAAATTCCAGAAAAGAGGTCATGCTCAGCTATTTAACCGATGTTCCAGTTGTAAGCTAGTATTCTTGTGTATAATGGTGCGATGAAAGCTGAAGATTCACATTAAGGCAAAGCTATTTAAAAAAAAAAAAAACCTGTAGGTCTAAAGACACTGTGTATGATGTAGAAATGTTATTCAATGGGAAAATGGCACTTTTGTAAGGTTTCTATACACACAAACAAGGAAATCAATAGACTAAAGTTGCAAACTACAAACGCTAACACAATAAACGTATTTATTGGGTATATTATCATTCTCCCCTAACTCCGTTGCTATGAGAACTGCAGCGCTAAGGCTTGGTCGCTTTAAGTAACCATGGAAACAAGGAACGACAATGAACACACAATTCACATTTAAGTCCTGGTCACACGTAAAGGAATGAATAATGAGGATACACATCCGGGTCCCAGAAATCTTTAAAATGTGACACTGTAAAGGAATGGAACAATTTTTTAAAGCACATTTACTTAGGATAATTTAGTTGACACAGATTTCCATTGCACTATCCTAACTTATGAGATCACACAGGCAGCGGCCAATGGTTTGTTCTTGAAGTTGGGCGGAGCTTAACGAAAAAAAAAAATTTGCCATCGATGAAATCGGGCCTTCGGTCCTGTTGTCATTGATCTCACACTCACAATCCCAACCAAATATTTTATCCCCGTTAAGTCAATGAAAATCGCAACCTGAACTGGCTACACATGTAAACACCTCTACTTGCTGGGACTGGCTCCTTCTTCTGGATTCTCGAATGTTCCTTGGTTCTTGTACCCGGAGACGTAGCCCGATTCGTCGACTAGATTTTTCCTGCCGGCTATGCCTTTTCCTTTTCCCGAATCGTCGAATCTTTCCTTGTGAGTTCCGGTGTAGCTCTTCGTGTCGGTGAGTCGAGCAGTCACCGCGTCCACTTTAACTTCCTGTTGAAAGATATCGAGGTATGTACATGTTTTAAATCAAGTGGCGGCCGAGCAGTGGCGTAGCGAGAGGGGGGGGGGGGTGCGGACTGCACCGGGTGACACCATTTAGGGGGGGGGGGGGTGACACCAAGGCAAAAAATAGCAAAATATATAGAGAAAATTGATAATTCCACTTAATTAAGTGATTAATTCCAGTGTCAAAAAGTCTTTTAAGAGCAAACGTTTGAGGAGGGGGGGGGGGAGTGTAAATCGAAAGTTTGAGGGGGGGGGTGCAAATCGAAAAATGGTTGTTTGTCCCCGGGCGCCGGGAAGGGTCGCTACGCCTCTGGGAGGTGACACCATTAAGTGCCGCACCGGGTGACACCCGACCTCGCTACGTCACTGCGACCGCGCAGCAGAGCGCTCGATTACTAAACCAAAAGTTTAGAGTTTCGGCTCACGGGATTCAAGACGTCATTGCGCCCATCCAATATGGGGAAGTACATACAACTAGGGATAGTGCTGACCACATATCACTTCACATGCCGAGGTCACAGTAACAGGTGAACTCTACTTTATGGATCGTCATGTTCGAATGGGTAACCTGACTTTCTAAATAAAAAAATTAGGCTTAAAGATAGTGTTAAAATACTAGGTTTAGAGATGCCAACATATGTGATCGCTATATCTTCGAGCACTGATATAATAAGTAGCCTTTGCTATACGTTCCAAACCTGTTAACCATATGCTAAATATAGCGTTAATTGGAAGGGAGACTACTCTAAAACGCTAGAACCAAAAACAGATTCATAATCTCGTGAATGTGTAAACATCTTTAGAGTGGAAGTTTTAAAAAAAATTAACGTTAGATAAAGTCTCGCTGATAAAACTGCGAGATACGGCGAGTTGCTCACCTTAGGTTTGGCATCCGATTTGGCCGCGATTTTTTCCCTGAGTTCACTGGCCAAGGTGGCTACTTCAGGATCGGCGAGGTCAGGCCTCTTGGCCAGTTTCTTTTTATTTTGTATGACCGTGGCGGCCAGCTCTGTGAGGAAGTCCCCCACAAACACGTCCACGTGTAGCTTCTTCCTGGAACAGTGGGATTAGCATTAGTGATATTAGAGGACGTGAGATTAACGTCATGATTGTTTACACGTGGACAGTGAGATTATCATGATGATTATTAAATGGGTACTGAGATTATCATCATACTTGTAAAATAAGTACTAGCACTAATATGTAAATTAAAAAAATTGTATTGCGTATCGATACTCACGAGAGATACATACTATGAACATATTGTGAACATTTGCAAAGAGTATCGATACTTTGCAATATCGTTAACTCTAACCCTAAACATGGCTCTAGTCCTAACATTAGCCCTGGTCCTTATTATGATCTTAGCTCTAACCTTATTAACCAAAATGAAAATTGTAAATACGATTCAGTTAAAAAAAACAACTCATTCAACGATACCGTATTGCCTGCAGGTGTTCAGAGGAGATCACAAGAATTTATTTACCTTGTCTTTAGAAAGCCAGGTGTAAATATGGCTTCTGGTTTATATAATACAAACTTTCCCCATCAAAATAGAGCCCGGGGAATCCTCTCTTATTTCAAAAATAGTCTTTGATCTCCCTCCTCCATTGCCCAAACCCTCGTGAACTTTGACCCCCACCCCTATGGACCAAGCGCTAATCTATCTGATCTAAATACGTACAGACTTCTTTAAGGTTTTTTGTCGCAGTATGTAGGGTAGACATGGGTCTCTGAGGCAGAGGCGTAGCGAGTTGGGTACATATGTCCCCGGGCGCCAACCCTATGGGGCTGCAGTTTTGCCTTATAAAAAAATAAATAAATGGGGACGGGACGGGGGGGGGGGGGGCGCCAAATTGAAAGTTTGTCCCCGGGCGCCGGACAGGTTCGCTACGCCTCTGCTCTGAGGCTTTGGCCACAACTCCCTACCCCCACACTTTCTTGAACTTTGACCCCCCCCCCCTCCATCCAAACAATACAGACTTCTTTAGGTCATCCAAACACAAACCGATTGCTTACGTTTTCTTATCGCAGTATTTAGGGAAGACCTGGGCCTCCGAGGCTTTGGCCACCGGGTCCCCGCAGCATTCCTTCAGCATCTTGTTCATGCCCTTGTCCTTGATCTCTTTCTTCTGCGGCTCCGTCAGGTTCTGACCAACGGACGACACCTCCACGTAGTACTTGAACGTCTGGGCGAGCTTGGCATTAAGGCCGTCGGCCATTGTCTGGGATGAAAGAGATCAGGATTTGGTCATGCGCAGTGAGGTGAAAAAAAAAAAAGATCGATGCCTGAATGACCTTCAGGTCATGTTCTGCGACAGTTTCCACTAAAAATGAAATTCTAACCTATCATAAAAACATGTTTTTAAATTAATTAAACAAACCTACCTTTGTATATCTTTTGAAAACAAATTGACTTTTAAAAGAATCTTTTTTTAAAAATTAAATTAATAAATGAAATACGTTTTTAAAAAAAAAAAAATGTTTTTCGTCTGGCTTCTGTGATGGATTTAGGTCTTAATTAGCTGTCTATCTAACTGGGCCAGCTAAAGTCTTGTATGATTGAGTATTGATTATAGAGTAGAAGACTTACGAAGGAACTTTATTTTTTTATGCTGAGCAAAATTAATGTGTGATTTTAATGTGTACATCACATACACGTGTTATTTTAACGTGTTTATGTATCAGGGGCCCATCACTTGCTACATGTTTAGGATATGGGGCCCAACACTTGCTACGTGTTTAGGGCATGGGGGCCCATCACTTGGTGTTTAGGGCATGGGGGCCCATCATTTGCTACGTGTTTAGGATATGGGGGCCCATCACTTTCTACGTATTTAGGATATGGGGCCCATCGCTTGCTACGTGTTTAGACATTGGGGTCCCATCACTTGCTACGTGTTTATGATATGGGGGACCATCAGTTGCTGCGTGTTTAGGGTATCTTTAATGGGTCAATCACTTGTACGTTATAGGGCTATATCCCAATAGGATTTTCTATTCACATAAAACAACATTATTGGAATTAAAAACTAAACTAGACGTTGCTATGGGGCAGAAAGAAATGATATCCTAGTTATTGATTGCTAGGACGCCGAAATCTAGGCCACTGTACTCTGTGGGGAACAGCCTATCGTATTACCTCCCTTGGCTGGCAATCTACCATCGCGAGTTGAGGTTATCTTGATGAGCTAAACCCGGGCAGTTCCTAAACACACTTTGCTAATTATAGATACACATATATCAAGATATGTATGTATGTATATATATATATATATATATATATATATATATATATATATATATATATATATATATATATATATATATATATATATATATATATATATATCTTGTGTGTGCTGTGTGTATTTTGCACATAATATAAACACGAATGGGTGATAGTTGTTTATCATTTATCATTTCTGTCTTATGCCTTTTGTGTTATAAGAGGTGTGACGGGGTGGGTTGGTACAGAGCGAGGAATGTTAAATACCAAGCTTTTTTTTTTTAAGTTTACAATGTCTTTTTGTTTATTTGTTTGTTTGTGGGTTGTGGCAAATCTTGAATCTCAGTTTTATCCTACTTCTAATGCAGCGATTACATTTAAACTTTCCAGATAAAAATATCTCCGATTACAACGCAAAAATATATTTAAAAATAATCTATTTAATCATTTGGTTTTGATTTTTTAAATTTAAAAATTACTATCTTCAATAACAAAATAGGAGATTACATGTTAAAATGCTAGCGATCGCTCTATCAGCTGGCCATCCGCGGCCATCGTCAGTGAACTGGTCACGGTTGGTGGATTTCTTGCCTGAGAATCGACCACCCTAAGCCAACGTGATAACAATCGTATCCTGTACAATATGTCTTGTGAAAACAGTGTAGTATTTTGTGTGTGTATACATTATATACATTTAAAAAATGTAACCCTTTATTTTCATATTGTAGCAATTTTAAAAGCAGTGGTTGATCATGTAACCGCCAACACATTTTCTCGATCAATTCTTTTATTAAAGCAAAACTATTGGGAAATAATTCTGTCTAAAACTGCCCGTAGACTAGTGGGAGATAATTCTGCTGTAGACTAGAGGGAGATAATTTTGTATAAGGCTGACCCCAAAACATTTCCGCTAAACCTTCACTTCCCGCCCAGTTTTATGACTCAACTACCCGACGTCCCGAGGATTGTTTTCAAAACAAAACTAGATAATGTTTAATGTTGGTTTTAATTGATTGTTTATGAGAGATACTGATTAATTTTTATGTGCATAACATTTTTTTTAAATTAAAAAGAGGTTGCCAGTAAAAAAAAAATTCATATTTCCAAAACAGGGTTTGACATTTCCAAATGATGAATGTGAGCGGGTAATAGCCACAGAACACTACGTAAACCATGTAAACAAAACATCACGTGACGTATCCAAACAAAACACCACGTGACCCGTTTAAAACAACACGCTCTGGAGACAGCAAAGTAACACGGAACATTGTCATCAGCCTGCTTGTGTACCACCTAGGCGTGGACTACTAAACTTGTCTGAAAAGACGACGTCTAAAGTCGCGCAGCTTTGCCGGTGGGAAAAACATATCGTCATAGCTTCAATTTATTATTACATTTTTTTAAAACTGAAAAAAAAACAACTTCCCGCATAGGACACGAGTGCTGTTTTCTTCAGATGCGCGAAGTAGTATACCATGTAAATACACACTTCATGCTAGACATGTTAACGTACACTTGATGTACATTCTAACACCCCAAGGTGGTTTCCCTAGCGTGCACGACAATGGTGACACATACCGCGGCGTGAAACCGTGTGCTACAACAACATTGTCAAGTTGGTGATTCAAGTCACAAGTGGTGACCCCGCCCAAATATATCGTGTTTCACCACTGCTTGTTGGAAGGTGTTAAACCACACATTTAAGGAACTTTCTTCATATATATATATATATATATATATATATATATATATATATATATATATATATATATATATCCTAAACACATTTAATATGCACTCACATGAAACGTGCGTTTCTGTCCTAATTAATGCAAACTGCAACATGTTGTTAATGGCTAAAAAAAAAAAAAAATAAAACTTACATTTAACTTGAAAGGGGAGAAAGATGGCTGTTAAAACAATATCCGTGTTTGGGGAAATACAAGCAGTTTACAGCGGTGAATTAGTGATGAAGTGTCCGCATGTAGAGGTGGCTATGACACTGGCTTTCACTTCCGCGTGTACTTCCCTTCTGGCGTAATGCGAGGAGGGGGAGGTGATGGAGGGGGAGATGGATAGCGCGCGGTGCACGCCCTGTGTGGGAATCGAGTGGCGAATTTTGGCTGTTTGGTTCGGGATGACAAACGGGTTGGCGCAGACATATTACACGCGTAGAGTGTATATCTATGAAAGAAGCGGTTAGATTGTAGTGTCGTTATTATTTGACATTGGGTTCGACCGTGCGTTTTCCACTAAATTACTTTAAAAAAAAAGAACATCCGTACAAGAAGTAAAACACCGTTCTGTTATACGGGTGTCTTGGCTAGTATAAATGACCCCAAGTGGTTTTTAATAAGTGAGCTTTATCTTGACCCAAAGGTCCTGCGTGAATTACTAATCACCTCAACGATTATCACTGCCTGAATTTTCTATCACAGAAGCAATCATTACCAACCAGTATGATGACCATAAAAATTGCCCACTATTGGTACATAGTTTTAGTTTGTACGTTCGGGTTGCCTTGTTGTAAACAAGATGAAACATGTAATGCCAGAGAGTGGAGAAGAAAAGAGTGAAAGAGATCACTTGTTATTGTATTTAATTTTAGTAAAGGGAAGCAACCAACAATACAAAAACCTTTCAGATATCAAGAAAAACACAAGGCAATCTTCCTTCAATCCTATTACTTTAATAGTTGAGTAAACTTTGATGAAATAATAGTCATCAGAATAAAACAACAAGTTCTTACATCCTATAACTTTAATAGTTGAGTAAACTTAATTGTCATCATAATAAAACAAGTTCTTACATCCAGATAAAAGGTTGCCATGGGTAAACCAGGTGAACAGGCCCAGCCACCACTGGGTTTTGAGCACTCCACTGCTGATCACAATCATGCATACACTTGATCTACTTAGTTTTGGTCTATCCAGTGGCTCAAGTTGTCAGGGCACTTGTTTCTAGCTGACATTTTTATCAAATCAGTCCAATTCATTCAATTACAAGTACACATTTTTTATAACATAGAATTCAGGTTTAGATGAGCCCTTGTTTAATATAGCCCTGCCACCACTTGACAAAATTTGTTGATTGGCAACTGATTTTAAATAAATAACTTATAATATTAACATTTCAAATGGAAGTAAATATTCCATAGCAAGTGGCACTGAGTAGCTTCCCTTGAATAAACCAGGAAAAAAAATACTATTTAGCTCCAGATAATTCTAAACTGCTAAGACTATGTTCCTGGGGACACTAGCTTAAATAGTAAGTCCATATTCTAATTATGCCTAAAATTATCTGCAATGTATTAGTTATATTAAATTCAATAAATCAGAGCTTAAAAGATGTACAGTGATTTCAGTACTATCTCTGGTTGTTTCCAAGCACGTTCTTAAATTTTTGATTTTAAAAAAGAAAACCAGAATGAATGACATGAATTTGAAAGCATTTAAAAAAAATACATGAAGTACAGCAAGGAAACAATTAATTACCTGTACACAGAAGTGATTCAGGTAAAGAACAAATGAAATAAATATGTACATAACCATAGCCCAACAAGGAACAGAGTGATGATCCGTTCATTAATTTCATATACTTTACTAGATGAACCAATTTTTTTCCATAAATGTTTTCAACAAACAGGTTGAACCTATTATAAAATTGTTCAGACAGGTGTTGATCCAAGACTTATGAACATTCCCAACAAATGACAACACGGCTTTAAAATTCTGTCAAGGGCTAGAACTTTAAAAACTTACTATTGTATCATACATAAAAATGTAGAGTAGGTGTTGAGGCGCTAACAGAGTAGCCTTTGAGATAAAAAATGAGAACTAAGAAGAAGGTGACAGAATACAACCACACTTGCTGACATCATTATAGAACCATGAGACACTCTTAGTCAAAATTTTTCTTAAAGGTGCAAAAACATAAAAAATAAAACAACCTCAAATATCAATAGATTTTTAGAATAAGGAAAAATTTTAACATTTGAAAACCTAACACTGACATTAATTATCTTGCTATTTTTTTCAAAACTGATAAACACTTAAGAATTAAATGTCATGAGATGCTAACAAACATGGTAAAAACTATTTAATTCCTGTTACATAACTAATTTCTTTCAACACAAGCACATGAGTGAGAACTTGCAAAACTAACTAGAGCCTCTAACAAATCATTTCTATAAATATTATAGAGTGAGTTTGATGTAATCAGTGATCAGAACCAACCTCTCCCCAGACAATTATACACAGCCATTGAACCATTCTCTATCACAAAATTAATGGGTAAAGCCTTCACAAGTTTATAATTAAATGGACTAGCTTCTTCATGTACCAACAGTCCTAACACTTGCACATTTCTGCACTAAAAACACTCCAATCAGCCATAATGGGAAAAAATGATTGTATCTAATTCTAATAAATATAATATTTACAATTTTTACTTTAAAAAAAAAAGAATACAGTATTGACTTAACTGGCTGGAAGTCCTTCATTACATACATACTAAAAATTGTTCATATTTTAAATACTTAAATCCTTGTAACCATTAAAAGGCATAAAAAATGTATTTTAAACTGCGCCCAAGTACTGTATGGGACCAACAAAGGAACGTGACAATCATAAATATAAACAAACATTTTAAAGAAAAGTTTAAAATCAATCTGACAGTCTCTACTTTTTACCCCCCCAACCCCCGAGCCAACCCTTGACCATGCCGGTCAAGCCTCCACCTGCTGTTTTCTTCTGCTGCTCCAGCTTGTCTTCTAAGGAGGGAAACTCTATATGGTTGAGTGCAAGATCAAAGAAAAGTGGTCGGCAAGGAATAGGTTCAAAATCAGGTGGGAAGCGGGTCAGGATTGCTTTCTTAGATGTCAATGATTTCTCAGTTATAAATTCATCTAACCTGTCCTCAAGAAGCTGTAAGAAAAACAGATAATGTAAACATCAAATACATCCCTAATATTTGTTAGTGCATGAAACTTTAACATTCTGAATAGGAATGGAATAGTGTCAAAAATCAACATGAAAAAAGAGCTTGCTCACCCTCTTGTCATTAACTGGAGTAGAAAATGATTGTTCTCCAGCGGAGCTAGAATCCAGAATACTGTAGGCTTGACAAGAATACATTTGGCCACTTATCTGTTGCTGAAGTTCTTGTAACTCAACAATATCTGACTAGAAACAATAATAGAGTAACCCATATTAATCAACATTTGAAAAGCTGTGAGCTTAATTTATTAGAAACTTGTATTACGTTTTTTTAATAGATATAATTATTTTACCAAATATTTTATCATTAAAAAAAAAAAAAAAAACAACAACCAAATTGGGCACCATTTAATAAAATACCTTTAATTTAGGTGTCTGAGGTTGGTTTTTAAATCCCTCAAGTGCTTTTTTGCAGTTGTCTAAAGCTCTTTGATACAAAGCAACAGTTTCTTTCCATTTCTTAGCACTGGCATAAGACCGAGCTATGTAATATGATCTATAAATTTAAAAAGAAAAATGACAAGGTGTTATACAATTAAAAGAACATGACTCAAATTTGTAGGGGGGCAAGAATGTTTTTTTTTAGTGTAAAAGTTAAATTACTAAAAGATAACTATTAAAACCTTAAAAAATATCAAATGAAGACTAACCTAAAAGCTTTATATCCTAAAACAGCTGTCTCAATTTCTGAACGTATGGTAGGATCATCTTGAATACCATGTAGATTGGGTATTTCATTTAAATTCTAGAAAAACAAAATATTTGCAGAGTATTTGATAATTTTAAACATAAAATATTGTACATATATATTTTTTACTCTTTTAAAATTTTTTTAAAACGTTTTTCTTAACTCAGCTTCGCGTTTGTTTGTTTGTTTGTTGTTAAAATTGACATCGAAAATTAGCCCACTTCTGATTGCTCTAGAGATCTGAAATTTGGCATGTAGGCTACTTTCGCCTAACAATTTCAGATGCAATCATAAAAACTAGCAATTAGAGACCGTAATTAGCTTAATTTAATTACGCCCCAAGGACCATAAAATTGAGGACATGATTTCTAAAGATACCGACAAGACTGGAGGCCTATTGACACAGTTACTTCGGCCCCAATCGATGTGAGCGCGCTGGCCGTGATCGTATAGTGGTTAGTACTTCGCGTTGTGGCCGCGACAACCCAGGTTCGAATCCTGGTCGCTCAAGATTTTTAGTCCGTGTATTTATAAACACTTAGTCAAGTCATACTTAATGAAATCATTAGATAAAGTAGAAAATAAACTATATAAAAAACTTTTTTAAAAACCACGTTTTTCATGTGTAGCAACGGACTAAAAAGGAGAAAATAAAATACTTAAAAAAACTTTTTAAAAAACCACGTTTTTCTTGTGGACTAAAAAGTAGAAAATAAATTTTCATACATTTGATGACAAAAAACGTGGGTCGGGCAGATGGGTCGGGAACTTTGATGGTGAACGTACCCACGTTTTTTGTCATCAAATGTATGAAAATTTATTTTCTACTTTTTAGTCCACAAGAAAAACGTGGTTTTTTAAAAAGTTTTTTTTAAGTATTTTATTTAATAACTATAATTTGCTCTTGTGTTTTGAATGCTACTTTGAAATATTTCAACAATTGCTATGTAGGCTATGCAATTTACTTTTAAACATGGTCCAAAAAATTTAAGCCAGTTTGAATAATATTTAAAATATATATTTATATCAATTAGCAAGCACTTACCTGAATAATAATGTCATACAAGCGAACTAAATCCTGTGGCTTAGTTATTTTACGCCCTTCTTCTGGATTGTTTTCTGGCAGATTCTGCTTCATATTTTCCACCATAATCAAATTTCTATCTATTGTGGTAGTTAAGCGGATATTCATGAGATATGAATGTAGATAGTGTTGGTTTGATACTTTGCCTTCAATGGGCTGTCCACGCACAGCTGCCTTAAATACCTAGAGGAGAAAAACATAACTAAACATCATGGTTTAAAGCATTATTATTCAGTATCTTCCCAAATTGACTCCCGCCCCAAAGTTTCATAAGGTGAGGTTTAGAACTAATGAGTGTTAGTTATATTTCAGGGCTTTTGATAGCCAAACAAAAAAAACTTGTGTTGCTATACAATTGCTTAAATTGGGATTATTTTCTCTAATTTCTGCATGAATCACTTAAGGTTTAAGAGCCAAACCTAAAAACAGATAACTGAAGTAAACTCCCCAACATACCTGATCTTCTTGTAAAGTGTCTCTAAGAGCCTGCTGGGCATCAATGCACTGCTTCAAAATGCTTTCGTATATAGAAACTCGACTATCCAGACTCTCTGCTGCTTCAAGTTCAGAGTTCAGGTCCTGCATGTTGAGCAGGAACAGCCTGACTGCTTCAACTTTCACAGGGACAGTCCTGCCACGCCATGTGACCTCTGACAGTGTAGCTGCTTGTTTCTCTCTGGTTTGTGACAACAAATCCTGTCAGATGTCAAAGGGAAAATATACATCACAATACGGAAAATAAAGCATAATATAGTTTGAAAGATTGGTTAAGAAAAAGTGAACTCACATCTAATTTAAAAGACAACTGGTCTCCGCCAGCAGCTATTCTCATCTTTTGCAAGTCTTGCAATGCTGACTCATCTCCAATGTTATATGCACAATAGCGGAGATTAGGGGATATTTCATCAACTCGCTGTTGATAAATCAACTGAATTTCTTCTGAGAATGCATTGGCTAATTTTTCATAAATGGTTCTGTAAAAAAAAAAAATGACATTTATTGAACAACAAAATGAAGAATTTAGTAGAGCAATGAGAATTAAAAATTGCATTCAGAAAACAACATCAAAGTAAATTAAAAGCAGAATATTATATGTACTATTTTTTAAAACTAAATTAACTATGTTAAAAAACTGAAATCTATTTTAGGTACTGCTAAAAGATGAAGTTTTTAATAAAAAAAAAATATTAAAAGATAAAAATAACAGACTGCCATGTTTAGAAAGGAAGTTGTCAGTTTATTTTGACACCATATCACTTACTTTGCTGTAGAGTAATAAGTCATTGCACTCTCCCATTTTTCTCCTTCAAATTCTAAGCTACCTTTGATCCATGCATTGTAGGCCTGAATTTAATTTCATAAAAGTTCTAATTAGCTATCTCATTCAATATCTATAGCTAAAGTAATATTTTTACATTAAAATTATTAATTTAATATTAATAAGTTGACAAACTAAAGCAATGCCAAAGTACTTTAAATAGCACTAATATACCTCACTATAAAGTAAGACAAATACCTGGCATTCCAGTTTAGTCCTGGCATCACATTTGGAACTATTTCCTAGAGCTTCTAACTCCTCAGAATACACAACAGCTTTCTTAAGTTTGGAATCCATATGAAAGCGTTTACGAGGCTCAGTATTAGCTTCTGATTTTAACTGCATAGCATAAGCCCAGCATCTCTCAGCACAAAACAAAGGTAACTGAAGGTACCTGTTTAAAGAAAGTGAATCTTGCATTAGTATATACTGTGTGAAAAATACAATTAATATTGGAATGCATATTGCAAAGTAAATCATTTGTGGAATCAATTAAAATTTTAGCTATAAATATTTAAGAACATAAGTTTATGTTAATGTCATTTATAAAGTATGCTCTAATTATACCTAGCATCAGTAAGCATTTCTGCTAATATTTTTTTGGGTGTAACTCTGTTCCTATTGCCTTGTGGGAAGTGTAGTGACTTCCTAATCCTCTTAATTCTCCTCGAACAGTAGCCTCTGTAATAGTCAAACATCTTATTAAAATTAATGCATTAATTTAGAAATAAATTCACAACTTTTATTAAGCATGTGCACCAGTTTTTTCATGCAGACTCATTTAAATGATCATTAAATAGATATTTTGAATGTCTTAATTAAGTAATATACCTATATCTTTGATAATCTCCATGCCTAAGACCATGTTGTTGCTGTGCATCTTTAATAAGTTGCAGTGCTGCAATAAACAGATAATATCAATCAGAATAAAAACAGTAAAATGGACAGGTATCCTAATCCTTCATAGAATGCACATGTGGATACTAAACAGATAACCAATAGACTTAAGTGATTAAGGGGGGTGGGTGGGGGGGAGGAGAGAAAAGAAGATTCAGAAAATCTGACCACACATTTTTTGGTGGGAGGAATATGTGAGATGTTAAATAGTCAAGTGAGCCTAAAAAACACATATCACATGACATTTTTCTAAAACTCCATTTTTTTAGCATTATTTCTTCACAGCTTTAATTTTAATTAGAGCAATGTACAAAAATACATAAATATTTCTTCATCTGATATATTTACATTAGTATCTATTAATCTATACTTTTTTCCTAAATGTATACCCAATGACACTATATAGTCAATTTATTTGGAGTACAACGCAAGGAAGTACATTATCTGGTGCATCTGTTACATCTAATCCGAAGAGTATGTGTTGTATCAGTGTCCAATTCTAATAATGCCACATTCATCTAATTTAAAAAAGGGTGTTAAATTATTGATAGTTAACAAAATACGAATAAGACTGCTAATGGGTAACGTTTACCCTATCACTAATGCAAACCCTACCATAGCGCTAATCATAATCTCTAACATTACTAAATTACTTCGTTAATGCACTTTTGTGGGTTCATTTATAAGGTGGTTTTTTTTTAAATAGATTTTTTTTTCTTGAACAGACTTCTTTAACTTAAATATTATCATGAACAAATTAGAGTTCAAACCCTCTAGCAGATAAAGCTCATTCTCTTTCAACACTATAAACAAAAACAAAAAATAGAATGAAGAAGTCTTGCTCAATGCTGACTGTATTCAGTTTTTTAAAAACAAAAAAATCACTGTTTTAAAAAAAAAACTGTCTTCAGACAGATTGTAGACCAGGTGACATCATTTTGAGTGTTTGGTCCTGGCTATTTGTGATATGTTACATTGTTAAAAATCAAGAAGTTGCTTATGGTATTAGGCTAGGTATAAGCCGTAAGGCCCAATCTAATACTACACTTTAATATTATTATTAGGCCTAGATCTAGATCCTAACACTTTGAGTTTGAGCTGTTTTTATATAACACTAGATGTCTTAATTTTACTGTATGATGTAGGCCTATGTGCAGGATATGAGTTTTATTTGTTTTAAAATGTTAATAACTTAATACTTCAATGTTAAATTAAACTTTATTAGGTAGATCTAGATTAAACATATGGACATCCAATGGACCCAATTGTTTAGGAACCCACTCCTCCACCCTCAGTATGGACATAATGGATGGCCCCTTAGATCTAGATCTATATATTTTTTCCCACGTTTTCTTTAACTTGCTTTCGTCTCTTTCTTTCCAATTAAATCTTGCGATCGAAATTTCTGGCACTTCCCAGTTAGCTAGCGCGCTGAAATTTTCAGGGAAGCTTTGTTTTGGATGACAATAGAATATTCAATTGTTATTATTACTAAATTGATCCATGGAAACATTTTATTGAGCATTTTAGACCGCTATATAATCTATATATATAATTCTCCTCTGCGAGCCGTTACAAAACATGCTGCAAGCGCCTCCTTACAGTCCCCTCTCTTTCTCTCTATCACTATCACCCTACCCCACCCCCACATGGTCTGCTGAGCTGTGGTCACGTTAATGTTTACAAACCGTACAGCCAGGTTTAGTGAGGGCTATTAGGGGCAGATAATTAAGTTTGAACCGACTTTAAACTTACAGGAGGTAACTAAAAGGAGGCTGCTTTCACGGGGGGGGGGGGGGGGGGGGGTGTGTAAGGGTGGGGTTAGGGGAAAGGAGGGGGGTTAGTGTTTTAAAGCAAATATTTTCAGTGGCAGCATTGGTACTGTCGAATTCACAAATTATGAATTATTGAAATAGATAATAAATCAACTAAATAGCGGCGTATGATACGCCGCGGGTCGGCTCATTGTAGTAAAAACGTGGGGAAAAAGGGACATAACCCAGTAACTGTAATTTGTGTACAAACAACCGTAACAACTGGTGGCCAGTATGGGGAAGACGATATGGTCGAGTGGTTGGGCACACGATTGCTATCCCACTCGACACGGGTTCAAAGCTATGTGTTCTAGTCAGTAACGTATTCACACAAAGTGTTTTTTACGAGTTGTCTTCGTTTACCCAAAAAAAAGTGAAAAGATAAAATCGATAGCAAGATTTTAATGCAAACAAACAGACAAAGACTAAAAAGTAGAAAATAATAATCATTAAAAAAGTTTTTAAAAACCCACGTTTTCTGATTGAACTAAAAAGTAGAAAATAAATGCTATACATCATAATAATGCAAGCGATCACTCTACTATAAGCGATCAAAAACGTCGGGCGCCGTGATTTTCTTACAGTTTCTAATACTGTTGACTCTCTACAAGCTCCCTAATAAAAGTCAATAGTATTATCTAATCAATAGTAATATAACTTTTACTTCGGCGCCCCACGTTTTTCATCGCTTATAGTAGAGTGATCGCTTGCATTATTGTGATGTATAGCATTTATTTTCTACTTTTTAGTTCAATCAGAAAACGTGGGTTTTTAAAAACTTTTTTAATGAATATTATTTATATTGAATTTGTTGGGCAGCACTGCAATGGTAACACAGTAACACTTGCTTGAATTTAGATTCTAGATTTTTTTAGAATATTAGGCTATGGCCTAGTCTAGGTGAGAATCTAGGATATTCTAGGAGATCTAGAGCAAATTACACTGTCCGGACACACACCGCGAAAAAACGCAACTTAAAACTTCCATGCGGTCTCATTCAGTAACCGCTTAACATAGGAAGGAAAAAAAAGTATCATATCTATCCGCAATCATTCTACTTTAATAATGTGTGTGTCATTTTGTATTCATACGCATAGAACTTTAGCTATTCTTGTTATAGTGACTGGGGGGTCTTAACGTGTGTTCGGACACATGTAATACAATTTCAAATGTGTTCGGACACCTTTACCCGTCATCGGACAAAGCACTTTTTGTTCATTTAGAATAATTTAAAGTCAATTTAATGAATAAAAACATATATTATATGCATTTATATTGTGTTATTGATTGTTTGTGAGGTAATTTTAATAGTATAAAACCTTTTTCCCACACTCCCAAAGTTCATCCCATTCAGCCATTGCGGCTCGCGCAGTACGCTGCTAAGCCAGCCAGGTCACATGATTCCCCCTCCTCTTTCGCATTCCACTGCCTTCTTGACCTTATTTTGACCCTTTCCCTTCAATAACCAGCCCCTTTTATGCTCTAAATTCTTATTTAATAATATTTTTGTGTTGCTGTCCGGTCCCATGTAAGGTCAAAAAAGTTAGCGAACACCCCTTTTTTATTGTTCAAGCACAAAATAACCCATTAACCTTGACATTTACGATGTTCCATACATATATAGAAGCTACTTATAGTGTAACCTTTTAGCTAAGCGTTGATTGGTTCAAGTTTTGCCCCTAAGTCCAACCCTAGGTCACTTCATCCGGCTGGTGTAAAAATAGAAATGTGCGTACCATGCAACGTTAAAAATTTTCTAAAAATAATTCTTGAGAGAGGAAACGGAAGTACTTGACACGGAAGTGTTCATAAATGAACAGTTTACGTGCAGGCGCCGTGGTTTCGCATGAGACATGCTAATTAAAGTTTCTATGAGCCAAAAACCGACGAAGTGTTCGGTCCCACGTAGTGTTCGGACAATGTAATTTGCTCTAGATCTAGACCTATTCTAAAATTAAAAACTAAAACTTTAAAAAAAAACAACCATCTGAGCTGGCAGTTTGAGTAAGAAACATTTTTAACTCATAAAAAATAAATAGGCTAGACTCTAGATTATCTAAGATAGATCTAAATCTAGCTAGATCTAGATCTTTTTTAAATCTCATTCTTCTACTGTCTGCCTAGATCTAGATCATTTTTAATTTAATTAGATTTTATATTTTTAGTTAGGGTAGCAGAGCAGCTTAATTTTTTTTTGGAGCTTTTCAACTAGACTAGCTGGTCCACATGGCAAACAATTGCATGCCTTGTTTTAAGCGGTACGGGTATAAAAACTTAAATTACGCTCAATCATAAAGGTATGTACCTTCTAAAGTTAGTGTATTGTCTTTAGAAATTTCAGAAGAAGATTGATTAGTCGAAGTTTGTGTATCGCCTGTCACGTTTTCGCTTCCAGCGGCCATTTTGGCTGGTGTAGCCGCGTCATACAATAGGTCTAAACTAGGGTTGTCTTCCTGCACACAAACATATTTACGGTAAAACTCGGTAAGTTGAGCTAAAATTAGTCGGACCTTGGCCTATGCTCAGCCCTTTCTTCATTGGTGATTTCTATTAAAAGTAGACTAGACCTAGGGCTTTTATTGTGTAACACCGCGTTTACACTTGCGACATGATCTAGATCTGCACTATGCACATCATAGCAGCAAATTAGTATATTTATTAATATAAATGTATATATTACGCGGGAAAATGTTTTTATGTAATATTAAAAACTTGTTGCGCCCCCCCCCCCCCAGATTGTATATGTATAGCAGCATATAGGCCTAAATGCATGTCACAAATGATGTAAACGCGTCTTAAGATTATAGTATTTAGATCTAGATCTATAGACATTTTAAGCCAAACGAAAACTTAACAAAAAAAAAATTAAAGTATAATTATTAATAAATTTACCAAACTTTTCAGATGCCAGTAGATCAATTCTAGATCTAGACCTATATCATAAATTAGTAGTAATAGCCCTAGAGAAAATTTTAATAAATGAAAAACAACGCTAAAAATCAGACATTATAATCAAGTTTTAATGCAATAGGGAAACATGTAAACAAAAGACATTTTGGTCAAAAATACAACTTGAGTCATCCCCATACACATTGCTTCAAATGATCTCAATCTTACTTGCATTATGACACTTGTTTTTAACAATTAAATGTACAATCATTCAAATTGAAAAAAATACATTTTTCTTATTGTAATAAAGAATATGTCAGTTTTATTGTTTTTCTTGGTATTTGATATAGCTACCTGTGAGTATGACTTATTGAAACTGTCAGCCCTAGCTGTTTATTAAAATATGTGGAGAGCCACTGCCTTGCCTTATTGCATAGACTATTTCAATTTAATTCAATAAAATAATCTTTACTTGAATTTGTAAAAATTTTAAAGAAAATATTTTATTTATACAGTGTTTCTAAATGGTAGCAACATATTTCCAAATTTCTATAAAGTCAAAGAAAAGGAGAACATTTCAAATAATTAATTAAAAACAATTATTTTTAATATGTAATGAGATTGAAAATGTACAACACAATGTAATAAAACCTTTCTTTTTTTTTGTAAATTTACAAAAAATGTACAAGATAGAAAACAGTATGGTGTGCAAGTCTATAATACCTGCCTTGCAAAAATTATTTCATTCACACTCAGCGTAGTAGTTTATAAATAGGTTTAAACACAACCATCTAGCAATCACTGCTTCATTCATTAATATATTCTAAAATTCTGAATTATCTAGGATTTACAAATAGCTAGTTTTGTGGTGCTTACATACACATGTTTATATCCACACACACAAATACTTGCAATTTTTTTTACTAACACTAATAGATTTAAAAAAAAAAAATTCCCTTACTTCAAATAAAATATGCAAATTAAAAAAATATTTAAAACAAGGCTTAAGTATTTTTATTGCATTTTGCTTACATCTGGTTAGTTACAAGACTAACTTTTATCCAGTTGTTATAATTGTTTTCTATATGTGGAAGATTAAAAAGAGATTACTTATGTAACAAGCTAATTTACGTTACAGCTATACTATACTATTAAAAATAAGATATTTAGAGAGAAGTATTTGTAGTTGTATGTAATAGAAACATTACATTAGACGCGACTAAAATATATACTGCATAAAATTAAAAAGGATTATTTTTTTTAAAAAAAAAGGACAATTCCTTAGGACGGTAACAAAGATCAACATTAAAATGTGTACTTGTAGTCCATTTTAATGCACTGCATTCACAGTAAAATATGAAACTACTCTGTTTTATCAGCATTAGTTAGTTATAAAATACAGTGGTAAGAAAGATAGTTTTTGTTCAAGTGAAAGATTTTTAGTTTTAGTCATTCATTAGTATTTAGACTAAGCACCTTAAAAAGCACCAAATTTTTAATGAAAGTCTGTATTCATGAGTAGTGCATATAAGATGATGATATAATTATACACAGAATACAATAAAAATATCGTAAAATTACCAACTTGACCATTGATAATCACATTTTTCATATTGAGGAAGCAAATCAATCTACTTGCAACAAAAATTAACAGAATTTTGATAAACTCAAAGAAATTGCTAACAAATCCTAAAAATACTTTTTGTTTCTATAAACTTCAATATTGAAGTTAAAAATAGGATATTTTATAAATCATTTTGTTTCATTAAAAACCAAACTGCTTAACCTTCAACCAAATCAGAAGAACAGGACAATAGCAAGTTATTTTCTTAATTTAATGCTCAAAAGTGAGAACCTTTTCACTGAAAGGAACAACAAAACAGGTTTGAAATATACAGAATTTATTTGCAAACATTATCTTTATGAAATGTAGTAACTTCTATAAGGGTTAAGGTAAAAATCTGCTACAAAGAGGTGACACAGCTGAAAATATTTATATACATGTTAAAAAAATAATAAACTGCATCAAAAGCTGGTAAAATGTTTTGATCATTTTTTCAAACATTTGAGAATGATAACCCAAGTAAAAAAATTTTCTAGTATCAAAAGCCAGACTTAACACTAAAATTTTCTGATGATAAAACAAACTTGATGAAACAATAACTAATACACCTACATTTCTTAGCATTGTAAGATAGTTGTTTGGTGAAAATGTTCCTGAAAAACCTAAACTGAATTTAAATAAGAAATAAACAGTTCAAGTAATATATTGTTTTATTCAGGAATTTAATCTTTAACAAAACATTGTGTACTTGTTTTTATTAAGTAACAAAAGGACTTCTTTAATCCATAAGTTTTTACTCAGCAATTTCAATGAGTTTCATTAAAATTTTCAACACATCTATTGTCTACCGACTTAATAAAGAGAAAATGCACCTATAGTGAACAACCTCAAATCAATATCAACACTGTTGATTACTGGCAATGAGCATTGACCAAAGGTAAGTTTTCTCCCAAAACAATAGATAGCTTATGGCAAATAAGACAAATTTTTAACATAATCGATTCAAAAGTATCTGCAAATACTATGTAAATACTCCTTCTGATCAGAATTCAGAAATATTAAAATAAATTGCAGTTTAAGACAATCTCATAATTGGGAAAACCTCTTGGATTCACCTTCACTCATCACTTAATATTTACATCAATACTGCTATTTAAAACTTTCATTCACACATCATTTACATTAAGCGTTCAACAATACACACACAATTTTCTTTTGGAAAATAGATCTAAAATAGCCCTAGAGTCAATTTAAAACATTTCAGCCATATTCTACACAGCAAGAATAAGTACAAGCCATCAATATTATAATGGCATTTGCATGAGACCTCTGTCCCAATCAATTAAAGAGAGTTCAAACATTTGTTTTAACTTTTTGATTAAAATAGTTTTTCTAACATATGTTCTAATGCATTCTAAAATGACAAGCTTTCTTTCACTAACATACCATATTTAAAACAGTTAACTAATAATAATTGTGCTAAGTTTTCAAATGTTGGCTTTAAGATAAAAAAAAATATTGCACCTTTAGGGGGGAGGGGGAAGAAACAAAATAACTCATTAAATGCAAAAATTCAATTTTTCCCTATTTAGAAGAAAAAAAATCTGAGTAAACATTAAATACTTACATTTTTGAAGGGTAAATACTAAGAAATAAAGATGTTATAAACCCAACGTTATATTTTCAACAGTAACATTTGTTGCAGCTTTAAATAATGGTGCATTAAAAATGGAACTAATATAGTTTTATGTTATGTGGTTTTAAATTGAGCTGCCTATTGTTTTTAGTTATGAATCTTGATAGCTTTTTCCAAGTAGTTGTAGCGTGCTCGCTTAGGAGTCTTATTAACATGATCTAAACCAAGCCAAGGTCTTGCTTGCATACCCATACCTAGACAAATAAAATTAAACATAAGTTTATAATTGAATAATTTGTTTAGAAAATGTAAAATTTGTGTACACATCTAAATCAGGTAATAAAAAAATGAAAAAAAAAATGACCTGTTTGAACAGAATGAGGTAAAAACTTCTTGAGATCAACTCTAATGTCTTGGGAATCTTCAGAAATGTATTCAAGCCTACCCATTACAATGATTGCGAACTTGTACTGAGAAAACAATTTAAAACATTATATTCAACAATCATAAACTTTTATAAAATGTATTTTATAATTAAAAATCTTCTAGTCAAGCAGATACTACCTTTTCAAACTCTTTATCTGGGATTTCCAACTTCTTTTGGATTCTGTCTTTAACTGCACTAAATGGTTCATTCTGTTAAAAAAAATATTTTTAACACAAAGCACATTGGTGGGTCCTTAAACTCATATATGAAAATAGTAAATACAGAAGTAACAAAAAATAAGTAACACAAGAATTCTTATAAAAATACATTAGAAATTGTTTTAGGTTATAACAAGTTTATGATTTTATTTAATCCAAAGTCATTCTTGGTGCCATCACCAACTTCAGAAACTCAAAAAAAAAGTATACGTATTTAGATCAATACTATCAACTCTAAGTACAACATGAAATAGTTTTAAAAAGAAAGCATTTACCTCTTTAATCTTAAGAAGAAATGGTATGCCAAATGTCTGGTACATTTCCTAAATTAAAAAAAAAAACCCAATTATTTAAGGATGATTGTAATAGCATACATTGATAAACTTTATTAAATGTTTATTGTGGAGTGGTAAATTCTATTAGATCAATACAGCTCCATTTCTAACCTAGATTTAACTTGTATCAACATACCTTCTGAAAGTGAGCAACAGGTATGAGCAGTTCATCTGTTCCCATGTTCACCTCCTCTGCTGGGATTTCTTCTATGCGATATGTTTTAGTTCCACCAATGACTAAATGATCAAGAGCAAGGTCTTCCTTCTGAACAGCTAAGATTTTATAGCTTATGATTTCTAACAACCTAGATTAGGAAGTAAAATAATAGTTACAAGTTATAATAACCATTCAAAGTTATGCTTTTGTTCATTCATTTTAATTCTTTAATGTCCTTGGCTGGACTGCTAACCCTTAAGTCTAGAGTTCGAATCCGGGTTTAAGTCAGTAGAACGTCCCTGAGTCCACCCAACCCTGATGGGTACCTAACTTAAGTTAGGGAAAGTAAAGGCGGCTGGGCATAGTGCTGACCACACTATCTCTTCATATGCCAAGGTCACAGAAACAAGTGAACTCTACTTCACTTGCCCCATAGACTGTCAGGTTTGAAAAGGAAACTAAAAAAATACTAAAAAATGTCCTTGGCACCCAAGTATGCCCAAGATTTTTCTTAGCTTTTTAGGATACTTGCAAAGATGGAAACATTGTTTTACTTAGTTTTCTCTTTGTTATATCATTAGTAGTTAACTTTCCATGATTTTTAAGAACCTTTTCTCACTCAAAATTTAAGGTAATATAATTAATGTAATTAAAATTAATTAATTTCCCCCTCTTGTAGGATCAGGCTTCATTTTAATTTACATGAAATTGGGATATTGAAAAAACATGATTCCGGCAACTACGTTGAATAAATTTTGAATAACTTTTTAGCATTGTTTTAAATGAATTAGTAGTTTTTATGGGATTGATATTGTTTTATTATTTGTAAATTGCTAAATTATTTGCTTGTTTAGAAAAGTAATATATACTAAAACTATTTTCCTGTATTATACTTTATACTGTAAGTTTTTAATGTGTAAACATTATTGAGTAAAATTTAAAAGTATCATTGTTGAACAATGAAGTCTTTTTGCCTGACCGTGTGGGGTTTAGTGACAACACTAATAACAAACCCAGTTTTAATATTAGACTAAGACAGCTTGTTGCTAAGAAAAAAGTATCTTTACCTCAATTTCCCTGAGCCTGATTCAGATAATTCCACCTGTTTCTTTGCCTCTTCTAATAAATCTTGTACCTTACCATTTTTGTTTGGATAAAGGACTAGTTCTCTCTGTTAAAATAAAATACACATTACTAAATACCACATGTAACAAAAATTGGACAAGTAGTATTTAATCAGAAAGTTCTTACCTCTTCTTTCATTTTGCTATTTAACCACAACACCTTAAATTGCTTTTTATTTTCCAGTTCACTAATTTTCATGTCAAGCTGAAGAAAAATTACATATCATTATTAAAATGAACCTTTCATAGCCTACCAGCTAGCTAAGGTTTCACTTTCAAAAACACTGAGATAACTTTTATTGAATGATTATAAATATTAGCAAAAAATATATTATTTCATTTTTTTTAAAAGTCAAAATAAATAAATAAATGATAATAAGAAAACAACTTATACCTGCTGATAATAAAGTTTTTTTGGCTGTCTAGGTTTAGAGTAGACTAGGAGGTCCCTCAAATTGCCTTCATAAGTGCACTTGACTGGGTTACCTGGTCCATCTCTATAACTGAAAAAAACCCACCAAAACAATGACACTGAAATGTCTAATTTACTAGAATCTGATACTTAAGAAGTAGCTCAAGAATAATTCAACATACCCTTGACATTTGAAGAATTGCAACTTATAAGGATCTGTGCCTAAATGACTTGCAACTGCATTGGCCATCTGGTCATAGTTCATTTTTTGAGACAAGTCCAGGGTAAAGCCTGGGTCATTTGGCACAGATTTATCACAGAATGTCACCTCGACTTGATAGAAAAGGTCCCTAAAAAAAGTCAAATGTAAACAAAAAATAACTACAATTGTTTATTAGTAGATATTTCTAGTGGTTTTCTTGAAAAGCAAACATTATGTTTTTGTCTTTTGTTTGAAAACATTTTGATGGGAGGTAATTTATGTTTGTATTGATAAATGTTACCCAATGATTAGGAATTAAATTAATGGACTATTATTTAAAAAAAAAAAAGACTACTCAAAGACAACATAATTTTGTTTTTTAAATGTCAGCTTTTCAATTCCTGTTAATAAAATGAAGAAATGGTTGGAATGAAAGAAGAATAATATAAAAATGTTTAGAAATATTACCTAAAATATTCCTTTGGTGTTGGTAAAGGATACTGAGCATCCTCTTCTTCCCTCTGAAAGACTATAATGTCACCATCCATTAGTTCATCAAGCAACTTTTCCATGGGCAAGCTGAGATCTTCTAACCTTTCTATTAGATTTGGTTTTACTTCCTATAAAAATAACAACAGCCAACATTAATCCCTGAGTTGCTAATAATTACACATTTTATGTTCACTTTAACATAAGCATTAATAAAGAACAATTTAAAGTGGTGAAATAGCATGTTCAAAAGCAAAAAAATGTCTTGGTTATGGTTAACTAACCTCATACAACAAAAGGGGTGTGTTTACAGGAAAGCCTGCTTTCCTATTTAGTTGAGGTATCAATTCATCTAAGAAAGAATTTTTTCACTCATTAGAAAATATAGTAACAACAGTAAATTAATTGAAATGTTTTAAATATTATAAAGTTACAACAGTAAAGACAAATGGGGTGATTTGATACTCACTTGCTTTTGCTGAAATAGGTACATATTCATGTCCAACATATGAAATAGACTTAGTTCTAGGATCATAGAGTTTCAAAAAAAGAAGAACATCACCTGAAATATAAACAATATTATTTGAACAAAAAGCTAAAACAATTCAAATAGATATATTAAGACAATTTTATGGAAAATGACAGTTTTTAAAGCAAAGATAACAAAATATTTTAGACTCTTTAAGAAGTTTAAATGTACATACTATCTTTATCAAAAGGTGGTAACTCTTGCAAACCACTTTCAGGCGTGAGTGTTTCCACAAATATGACCCATGGGTTTTCCTGGTCGGAAAGCTCTGAGACCTGATTAAATAACAAATTCATTATTGACAGTATAGTTGTAAAAAAAAAAACACATGAAATAATGATGTGATACTAGTTAACTATGAATTCCTAAAACAAAATTACTTGTTTGTTGAAATCTGCCTCAAGATCAAGAATTGTTGGTCTAAATGTTTGATTTTGCCGACAGTGAAATGGCCACGGTCTTATTTGCTGTACTGGATATTTCTGAAAACAAATACAGTTGCATTATGTATAGAATTTTAATAATGCAAAATTTAACCACAGAAATAAGAAAAAAATAATGTTTTTTTTTTGGCAATAGTTTTCAGCAAGCTTAAAAAAAAATCACAATATACCAGATTTTCAGCTAAGGTCTCCATAAATTCAGCAAGGGTGGAAGATTTCTTGACTTTAAAACTTCTGAAAAAGTAATACAAAATTTACTATCATAAGTTTTAGAAAGAAAGTGTATAACATATGGAAAAATATTTTAGAAAAGTTTTATTATCTTAATACTTTTAAAATAAATATGGCAAAATAAATCACCTAAATATAATAGGTTTTTGCAATAAAAGATTACTACTATCTCAACAAATTAAATCTCATACCTTTTCTTCATTTTAGAAAATAAATTCTATGACTACAAAATTATTAGTAGTTTTATCAGAACAATTTTACATTTATTTCATTTTTACCTGTAGTTGACCTTTTCAGTGTCAAAAAGATCATTTCCCTGGTGACCACAGAAATTATCTTCTGTCAGCACATGTACATTCATATACAAATGGGCCTCCGTGCGTTCTTTACGTTTTAAAGCTTCTAACTTTCTAGTTATGACAAAAAATGAAAGTATTTTGAATTTAATCAAAAGTTAACCCAAGCAGATAAGATTTTAAACCTGATATATCATCTTCTATGATTCTTAACTAAAAATGCAATTGATCTATCACATACAGCAAGAAAAAATACTTCACTATAGATATTTTTGGCTTACCTCTCTTCATTTAATCTAGCAGTTAAAGAATCAGGAATATCTTTTTCACTCACAGGTTCAAGGATTTCACCTACAAGTAACCAATATAGTGATAATTAACACAATTTATGACATTTCTAAGTTTTTTTAGTAAAAATTTAAAAAAAAGTAGATTTATTTTAAATTTTTTCCCCACTTACTCAGTTCACTTTCACGTATATACACCAACATGTAAGCATTTGTACAGTGTCTGACGGTCAGGTCTTCATCCTGCCCGCCAAAATTGTGATCAATGGCTTCTGATTTTGTACACCGAGAGACTACATCATCATCAAATTTGCACCACTGAATTTTTAACAGAAATAAAAAAAATGCTTAAACAAAGACAAAAAAAAAGATAAGTAAACTGAACATTTTTCCAGCTAGTTAAGCTAGAATAACAGCAAAGTAACTTTACAAGACACAGAAAAACCTTACAAATTTATTGATGATTTGTTTACTTACCTTTCCATCCCCCTTAGGATTAATATATACAACATAATGCCCGCCATGATTATCACCACTATGTACAAGTACTGCATGTAAAAGGTAAGTTGCTACTGTCTTCTCTTTTTTTTGTAAGAAGTCATCTAAGCTCAACTTTTCAGGGAATTCAAATCTGAAGTTAATAGAGAGATGTGAAAACAATTTAGTAGTTTTTAAACCATAGACATATAATAGAAAAACCCAGTTCACAAAGACTACCTTTGTGTGAAAGTTGTTAATAAAAGTGTTAAAAAAATTATTTCTGCCCTCATTACCTGTCATTTATTTTAATATTTGCATCTGTGACTGGGTCATACATAAATCTCATAAGATGGAGGTGCAACACAGGAGGAAATGAGAGAAATACAACACCTTTCTCAGACTCCTAAAAAAAAGTACATAGTTCAATTTTTAAAAATTCTGCTTGGATAGTATAATAACAAATGTATTCAAGTTTTAAAAGACAAGCAACACTACAGAAAAGCTTACCTGTAGCCCATACTCTCCAGCATCATATTTATTTTCTCCATCAAGTGTTTCTACTGTACAATATTCCTTAAATGATTCCATAACTAAAAACAAAATATGTAATAAGTGAGAAGGAAATTAATCATCATTACGAACATTTTTATTTATTAAAAGCAATGGAGATATACAAGATTATTTATAAATACTAGTTATTAAGTTAGACAATTTATGAATTTAGTGTTACGGTAGTTGAAAACCATGTAGGAAAAAGAATTTGATTTAGGGATACAACAAGACTAAAATATTTGGGTAAACTATACCAGTTTTCTTTCCCTTGATGTTGAGCTGGATGTCAAAAAATGTTTCTTCTCTTTTTGAGTCATAATCCACATGTTTGCACTTAATATAAGACTAGAAAAAAAATATGAAAAAGTGTATTAACTTAAAAAAACAAACAAACACACTAAGGGAATTATTTTTTTTAAGGATAAAATAATAATAATAGTAGCAGCAGATTTTTTGCATTTAACATTCTAAGGGAGGTTTCTAAAATAATTTAAGTAAAAGTTAATGGGTATTAATAGATGGAAGACCATACATAGACAGGAGCTAATAAAGCAAGAAAATCTACTACTAAGACAATTTAATTGCATAATTTCCAACTTTATCCCAAAGAAAAGTTTAAGGAATAAATGGACTTACCAACATTTTACCTTCAAAGAGTTTTGGAATTGTTCCTTCAACACATGTTCCTTTCATCTTACTTTCCATGTTATCTAACAACTAATAAACGGATTTACAAAAGTGTTAATGTTTATGGAGTAAAAATATTTCTTAACATTAATAATTGTTAACTAACCAACTTAGCTGGATAACAAAAAATTTACATACCACACGACAGAGTTCTTGAACATCATGTTGCATGAAGGAGTCCAAGGTTTCCCATCTGAAAAAAAAACCAACCCAGGAGTATAACAATCCAGCTTGACTATCTTTCTGTTTGTTTATAGAAAATGAAATGCCATTAAACTCAACAAACTAAACACTAAGAAGGTTAGTGAGAACATATAAGCCTGTTTTTTAAATACAATTCTTTATATAGCATACATTTTCTTCTTCTTATTTAATGAAGACATACCCAAATGATCTTGTGAGTTTTTTTGTTCCAACTGGTTTGTCTGAGAACTGCAGCTCATAAAAGACTCGCTGAAGAGCAAGTGGAACACTTCTGGTACTATCATCGCTTTCAGTAGGCATAAGATAGACTGCCTGAATTTTAAAATGCACACAGTAACAATTACTATACAAAAAATAGAAACTTACGTAGTCAACACAAATGAAACATACCCAGGACTTAGTTTCAGCAGATTATAAAAAATAAAATCAATTACCCGTCTGAGCTTGTTGGTAAAGAAAAGTGTTTGCAGCAGTGAGTTCATATAACAAGTAGCTCCTTGATTTTTCAGGCCTACAAAACCAGTATGTTTTTTTGAGTCCCAGCTGTGGGTCAAAATAAAAAGACAATTACGACTTAAGTAAATATTTTTACTATTCTCTGCCAATAAATGGCTTCCAATACGTATTAAGTATAATTGTTGAGGCTGTGGAAAATGATTTGCAACATAAACGTATTCAGTTAAAAGCAAATGAATCGACGAATCTAATAAACAGGCACTGGTTAACAACAACAAACCAATTAATACAACACACTAAATCAGAATAACTAAAATAGAGAGCAAGACAAACCTGACACCATGAGGAGCATCAGCTGTGACATGAACTTCCAGCATAATCTTGTCATCTTTGATAAAACCTGCTGATGGGTCTAGTACATCCTGAAATTTTAAAACATTATTGATTAGATGAGTTAATATAAATGCCCTAGTACAGTTAGTTTTCAACATGAAAGCAATCAGTTTTAATGGGAAGATTATTTTACTTACTTGCCATGCCATGAAGTGACTGAATCCCCAATCATTTTCCTTATGGTAAAATAAATGCTGAATGCCTGAAAGCAACAGTCATGTTTTAAATTTCAACAACCTACTACGATAATTGAATTATCCTATTTCTTTTTTAACAGAATGAAAATAATTTAATGATTTGGATTTTACTAAATAAAAACCGAACACTAATAGACACACAGCCAATAACCCTCTCAGTTTTAACACACAAAAAACATACAAACAAAAAGATAATGAAAAAGCAATGTTTAGTGCAAAGTGTAACTGACAAATGTAACTATTGCAATGAATGAGAAAGATTAACCATCAGATGTTAGTTATAACATTGTAAAACAACATCATGATCCTCAAATAATCAGACTTACTTCTTTTACATGGTTCTCCATCTGGATCCCATTTCAGCATTTTTAAATCAGCGGATGCTTGGCAGGACCATGACGTTGATTCGGACTCTCCATTGCACTGAAGAAAAAAACCTAAGCTTTTCTGCCTCTCTGTATGATTTTTGCGTGGCATGGCCATGATTTTCCTGAAAAAGAATTAAGGACATGCATTTCAAAATAAACGTTACAGTCCTTATGGTTTCTGTTAGTTTTTAAAATAGAAAAATACATATAGTTTTACAATTGCGATAATTTACATGTGTTGACATAAAAGTAACTCATGGCAAAGTGGTCAGAATCATACTAATACAAAAAAAATATTGTTAGTTTATATTTTAAACTATAATAGTTTCAATATCATAATGATGCTAAATAAGTAGTAGTTATTTGATCTATTTTAGTGTGCAAGCTGTTAGATCACATAACTTGAATATTGGTGGGTAACAAGGTGTTTAGCCTACACCTTCACAAACTTCAAAGTTGAGAGAACAAGCAACATACCATGGGAGATTCCTGACCATGCATGGTGGACTGAGGACAGATTCTTCAAGCTTACTGAAATTTTCAACTACAAACTGGAATGTGGCTTCTGCTCTACTTTCATCTGAGAAAGAAGGTAATAGTAAAAGTCAGGTAATGGACTCTCAGCCAATTTTTTAAATTTGATAGATGGAAAGGAAATAAATTCCATATTTATCTATAAGCTAACAACTAATATGTAGTTATTATAATATTGGGTAATATCTAATAAAACATAACTACACATCATAATAAACTACTTTTTTAAAACATGCCTAACTTAAACCAACAAACCTTCTTCCATTTCCTCTTCATTACTGCTTAAAGGAGGCTTGGCATCTCCATTAACAGCACCTTGAGATTCGCTGCCATTATGGCAGTTATTACCTTAAGATTATTGTAAAACTAGATATAGATCATTATGAAAATGGTTTAATATTAAAAAAAAAAAAAAAAACTAACTTAATTGCATTTCCCTTCACTCTTTTCAATTACAATGCAAATCCTACCAAATATACCTAAGGATTTTTGTTTTAAAAAGTTTTAACAAGCAAAACAAGGAACAAAAAAAAAAAATCACTGCGCCATATGTCTAAACTATGTGCCCACAAAGCTTCAGTTTGTTATGTGTAAAAGTACAGTAAAATGCCATCTCTCTACATGTTAATAATTAAAGTAAGCAATATCAACTAAAAATCAAGTAATGTACTGGATTACTATAATTTAGGGAAATGCATACAAAGCTACTAAAGATTTTCCCCCTTCTATGAGCAGGAAATTTTAAAAAATATTCTTTTTCAAGATCTTATCTATACGCACTCACATTAACAGCAATCACAACAACAAAATTTAGTGACTAGGAGAAGTGATTGTTCAGTTAATAATTTCCAGCATGAAAGAACAAGACATTGTATAGTATGAAAAATAGCTGGTGATATAGTCAACTAACAAAGATTAATATAAAATCAGAATGTGTATTAATTGGAAAAGCATTAATTGATAGATAGTGTTTAGCAAATACACTTAAAATCATCCTCATTTCTTAAAGTTCTACTTAAGCTGATCAGTCTAGGCCAGGACCTGCACACATGTAAGTTGGTCAACTTATTTATAGAATTAACAGTGTCAATTATTGTAATCAAACATTAAATGGCCATGACTAATATTAATAAACCCATCAGAGTTTTCACAAGTATTTCCAATAAAACTATTTACTAAGAAGTCTATACAACTTTTTTTCAATGTATACTCTGACAATTTCCAGAAAAATTAACTCAAGTGAGGTACATGGTTTGAAAATTATTTTTAGCTTTTTGAAAAAAATTTCCCCGTCATGTAGGCCTATATTTTTAAAAAGAGAAGTGTTTTAAACAATGTCATGGTTATAAAAATGAATAAGGGTATTATTAATTAAGAACCAATGTAAAGATGCCCTCAAAAAATTTTGATAAGTGAAAAATCAACCTTGTGCTTATGTACGCCAGATTTGTACTTTTTCATGATTGTCAGCAGTCGTGAAATGATTTACCTACCAAGTTTTTCAAAACTTAATTATTATTTCAGGTCCTAAGCCTTAGAAATGCCTAGATACTTGAATCAACATATAAATAAGGACTAAATTAGCTGGACTTAATAAATGTGATGTTTTATTGGTAAGTCTAATAATTTAATTTTTACTGAGACAGGATACTAATTAGGACTAATGGGGTAATTTTTATACCAGTGTCCAATAATAGAATCTTCTTTAAAAAAGGGGTGTTAGGTTAGTGGTAGTTAACTAAATAAATAAACATATCCCTGGCTAATGTCAATGCTAACCCTGACACCAACCCTAGTCATACCATACGCCTAACCCTAATTTCTAACCATAAAATGAGTCGAGATTACATTACTGCTAAAAACCCAACACACCTCTTTTATGGAACAGTCTATTATCGGACATCAGTATCTAAAATCAGCCTTTGCGTTTTAGGTCTAGGTCTTTTTTAACATTCGCAAGAAAAAAAAACTATCTACTTAACAGGTAGATCTACAATGAGTGTTTTTTAAATCTTTTCTTGACATAGATCTAGAATTTTTAAAAGTGTATTCAAGAAATACGTTAATATGTCGTCACTGGTCATCGTTAAAAAACAAAACAACAGCTAGGCCTAGATCTAATCAAATTTGAATTTTTTTTCAAGTTTTAACATAACTACTAGATCTACTAGGCCTGTAAAAGACAAAAAATAAATAGGTATCTACATCTAGATTCATTGTTCAAAGACGTAGTGTTGTCCATATTGTTTTTTGTGTTGGTAATCTATCGTTTTAGGTACGTAAAATCGCCTGCGGCTAGTAATGTACCAAAAAGTTACCTCATTGTCAAGGCTTTAATAGAAGGTCTATTTTGTGATATATTTGTGTCAAATATTATAGAAAAATGAATAATAAACCTAAATCAATGGTTAAATATTTTAATATATCAATATAGGCAAGAAATTAACTTTAAACAGCAGTATTTGTGAGCAGGATTTGCTATATAAAAAGCGGCCATCTGTAAGTTAGAGTGGCTTCCCCTGAATCTTGCGCTATAAGTTTAGGCCTACAATATAAAAAAAAATAAAACAAGATGGCGGCTATAGTAAATGAGCATGGTTGCATCTGTTGGAAACATCACTAGACTATTACTAAAAAGTTTTAATTCAGTTGTTTAAAACCAGGTATATGGCCTAAATGAAACAAGGAAACATTTTTGTATTTTTCAAAACAATCCTTCTCAAAATTTGAAATAGATTCTAATTATTAATTATTAAAATTTAAGGAGTCACCTGTTTTTCACATTACAAGTCGCGAGCGATTTTACGTACCTAAAACGTAGGCTTTTTGATGAGAATTACAGAATGAATTTTTTATTAAAAATGTATCAATAATAGCTTGCACACTAGTAAACTAAGCCAATTTAGCATATTTTAACTTTCTGTGCAAAGTCATTATTACTGAAAAAAATTCCAAAGTCAGGTCAGCCTGTGGCACCCTCCACTGAACATGACAGAAGGAAAAAAAAACTTGACCCGTGACCTTCATTAAAACAGAATTTGCTTTTGTTTTTTTTTCATTTTTAGTAAATATGTGCTTAATCTTACCCAATAAGTGATAAAAATTTGAAAATTAATTTTAATTACTGTTGTAAAGTGAGATAAACAGCTTAATAAACACGTGTTTTCTTGAGGGGGTGTGGCACATCCCGACATCGCATTGTTTGTAACTTTATATTTGTGTTTTATGACTATATTTGTTCACAATCAGCATGCTATGCTTTTAATTTTGATAAAGGGTAAGTATACCAAGTTACAAAACCTGAAATCTAACTAATAATTCATACTTTCAGTTTAAAAAAATAATGAAAACGATCATCAATGAAGAAAGCGTAAACATTCTATTTTTAGGTGTGACATAAAAAACAGTCATAAATCTAGCCGAATGATTGGATTCTTGCGCGTCACACATTTTCCCGCGCTTCGTGTTCACCAAAAAAGATTATAATAAAATGGCATTATTATTCTTACAGAGCATATCTCATGCCTACCATAAATTATTACCAGTTTATTGTAACGTGTGTAAAATTAATGCTTTCAAGTAAAAAATAGCAATAGTCTGGTTAAAAATACCTGCGGTATTTTATAGTTATTTGATTCGAAAGATAAGAATTATATAGAGCTACTTTCACTAAGGCGCCGCTTGCGAGACAAACATAGAAATTAGGCCAAAAGTAGATCCAACAATTCTTAAATAACAGACTTAAATAGAAACGGATAGTTCCGATTTCTTAAATTAACGACGGCTTCGTAATCATTAGTTTTATCACTCTACCCATTAGTGAAAGCGAAACTGGTCGCCATTTTTGGTAAGCGCATGAGCCGTGAGATGGCTTCAAAACAACAAACCCGGAAGCTGTGAATTCGAACGGCCTACTAAAACGATAGATTACCTTTGTGTTTCTTGTCTGTTTTAATAAATCAAACTTAAATGGGAGTGGACATTGGGACAAATGTATTTTAAAAATGTGATTAGATCTAGATCTAGTAACTAGAAAGTTATTAAAAAAAACCCAAAACAAGTTGGGCTAATTTTTAAATTCAAGTGCAAATAAAGTGGATGTGCATGTGGTCTTGCACTTAATTTTTGTTGTTATACTAGACCAGTAGGCCTATCTTAATCTTATTGTAAACACATTTTAAAGTAATGAAGTCCTCTTAAAGCGAATAACTGACACGCACCATCCTGATCAGTATCCATTTCTTCTGCTTCTGCTCTGATACCATCGTTGTTGACGACTATTTCGTTGACATGGTTCATCATGTTGACGTTGTTCATATCATTAGCCAGCAGCGGTAATGTGACCGTTTGTTTATCTCGCCCGGGAGTCTGAAGACTTCTCTGCGAGACGGTCCCTTTTACGTGCTTACTAGCAATTCGCCCAATGTCTGCAGATTCTACCCCAATGACGGGGCAAACTGCTATTAAACAAATTAGGTTCAGATACCTACGATCACAGGCGCCGGGATGTGAACAAAAATAAACAAGATGGCGGCTCGCGGTTAGGGGCAGTATGGGTGTTTTTCTATTGGTATCTATTTAGTTCACAAACTTACTGTCGCTAAGAGTGACTTTAGCCATCATTTTGAAATTATGATTTGCTTTTTTTAAATAATTTTGTTCTAACTTAAACGACGCATCTCAAAAAAATGGCAATTATGATTTCGGTGGACCATTGGTGTCTCAGTTATTTTTTAGTGCAGAATTGCCTACCTACCATTTTGGCAAACTGCAATTAGGCCTAAATTTAGGCCTGTACGAAAAAAAAAAACGTTAAAAAGAATAAAAAAAAAAAAAAGAAACCCACCAAATTCATCATAGACGGGCCGACGGTTTTGGTTTGATGAAGTCTTTTTATCACCATGTATAATAGAAAAACTTCAATTATATAATTTAAACAATAAACATTAAGAAATATTGCCTTTGTTTCATCAATTCAATTGCTTTAAATGTTAGATAATTTGATTTTGCTCAAAAGAACTAAAATATTAATTTCATTTTTCATTTTGCTTATGGGCCTAGTATTATCATTTGGGCCGTTTGCGTGATTTGAGCCTATTAAATCATTTTTTCAACATTACACATTTTGGAAATCAATAAATAAATCTAAAAAATATTCCAAAAATCCTATTTGTGAAGTGTGAAAAATAAATGTATTAAACATTTTAAAAATCAATATAAACATTTATAAATATACTACAGTCAGCAAAACACATCAATATGTTATGCTAAAATCGTTCTAAAATCTAAATAGTGAAAGAAAAGCCATTTTGAATTAAAAAAAAAACATACTATTGTGATTAAATGTTATAATGAAATAACTGTAGCGATTGATAGCACGAGTTACATTTTATATCTGAAACTACGAAACCATGTAGAAAACCTACAGCTCTAGTTGCCTAGCATTAGCCGAATGCGTGTATTTGACCACAAGCGGCAAAAGGTAAAATATCCTGGCATATTTGCGCTTGCGCTGAAGTGTCTTTCCGTTATAAAATAAAGGCTGTCAATAATACGACGGCTTTCTGTGAATGTAGCCGTCGTTGAAGACATATTTTATTAGAGATAGTTATGTTTATAGACGTTTAAGGGATTTTTACTTATTTTCTCTTTTTAACAAAAAATGAGCCAAGACGACGGTCAAGAAAGTGACAAGTCACCCGATCATTGGTTTTCCAACTTCGAAGATGAATGTTTGGATGAACTGGAAAATCAAGGAAGAGTCGAGCCTCGGTTACAATCTGCTGAGGAACACACTGCTCAGCAGCTTTGGTTGGGTTTTCAACATACATCCACAGCCATAGCACAGTTGTATAATTTTAAAGGTACTAGTGGGTTACCAGACTAAATGAAGCCTCCAGTAAATAAAAAAAAATTCCCTGTGGTATTGAAGATCTAGATCTAGAAAAAAACATGAATTCAATGGCGAAACACTGAAAAAGTCAAAAGTTTGAAAAAAAAAATGAATGGGTTAATTTCATAACTAAGATTTGATAGATCTAATTTCTAATATAAAAGAAAGAAGTAGATCTAGATTCTAGATCTAGGCTCTTTTTAAATTTTATTGTTAAATCTATGGATTTAAACAATACCAATGAAAACTAACAATTCGGATGGTTAAGGATACTCGAGGATGTCCGATAAAAGACTTCTAATAATAGGTGCGTTAGGTTTTAGGGCGAGGCATATTATAGGGTTAGGATTAGGTTGACATTAGCAAGTTATATGTGTATTAACTCCGTCACTACCAGTAACTTAACAGTACTTGAACACCCCTTTTTAAAGATTCTATTATCGGACACTGGTCTAAAAAATCCCCAGAAATTTATTTCAAATTAGACATCAAATCTGTCGGTTCTAGCTCATTTAGGGCTAAATAATTGATTTTTATTTGGGTAACTACACAGCCAGACAAAATGGCTTTCCATGACAACTATGTTATACTAAGTTGAGAGATTCAGAGAGCAGGAAGTGGGGGAAGTTGACGTGGAGGTATGGTTGCGATTCACCACCTTGTCACTAGAAATTAATTGATAATCAGGCTAATTGTTCCATTCTAGATATATAATTCTCTTCTTGGAGATGTTAGAAAACAAGCTGTAAGCGCGCCTAGCAGTCCCCTCTCTTCCTCTAGGCATATCGCAACCACCCCTACATGCTCTGGTGAGCTGAGGTTCACGCTAAATGTTTACAATTGTAGAGCTGGGCTTAGTGATGCCTATTAGGGGCAGATAATTTAGTTTCAAACTATTTTAAACTTAGGGGGGGGGGGTTAACTAAGCAGGCTGCTTTCACAGGGTGGGGGGGGGGGGGGGTTGGGGGAAAGGAGGATTTTAGTGTTTTAAAGCAAATTTTTTCAGTGACAGCAATGGTACTGTCGAATTCACAAATTATGAATTACTGAAAAGTAGAAAATAAAACTAAATAGCGGTGTGTGATAGTGATAGATAAAGGTCTAGGCCTAAATATTTTTCAAATGTTTAAGAACTAAAATTGTAATTTAATTTAGGCCTATTATGAAATATTTTTTATTGAGCAAACCAGCAAAAACTAAATTGAAATAATATGCATGCATTTATGTATTCAGTACTGATGAATGATCCCAAAAAATAATGTTTAACATAGGCCTACCTAATAAAAAATATTAGCCTACATTTTAAAGATCACATCTTATCAAATTTACATGTTTTGATTCATAAAGCTAAATATTTTAGCAATGTTTCAGGATTATTTGTAATAGATTCAGATGTAGGGGACTAATTTTTTTTTATAAAACTAACACTCCTCCTTACTTTAGACCAATGGAATATCCCTGAAGCTTAATTCAGACAGTGACCTGCCAATGCTAACCCTAGTCCATTTAGACACCTAACCCTAATTTCTTTCCTTAAAATTAGACAAGATTACTAATAGCAACCTCACACACCTATTTTAGGAAGAGTCTATTATAGGACAATCATCCCAAATACCAGTAATCACCATTCTCTTGACCACCTGCTCATGTTTTTATGTCAACTGGAGAAACAAACCTGAGCACAACACAAGCAAAATTCTCTAGCCCTGTACTTAGTTAAATAAGTACTAAGTTGTTAGGCATAGGCTAATATATTAGGCCTACTAAATCTGAATGTTTAAAAGTTCTCATTTTTAATGAAAATATACACAATAAATAACAAAAAAATTTGAATAAACAATAAAAGCAGTAGAGATCAAGTAGAACACTAACCAATACCAGTGACCACACAAAAAGAATTTTTTTTACTGGAAATGGTAGACTACTGTAGGTTACTGGCTTTTATGGAAATACAGAATTCCTATCATTCCATGAACGGGGTAATGATTGATAAAAAAATCTTTATTAATACTTTGCCCAATTTGTGGCCTTAAAATTAGTGAAATATGCCTATATCAGTATGAGGCATTAATTGCACTAAAAATATTTATTGTTGTTTACTTTGCTTTGTTTCTGACGTACATATTTGGTGCTTTGTAGGTTACAAGACATAGTTCGCAACTGACAACTCTGAATGGTCAACATCCACTAATTATTATACACCTATTTACATTCTTTTATTGATTTCATTACTTGCTACAAATATTAGTATTAAATGTGTAGGCCTAATATTTAAAGGATAATTATAAAATAAGCTTCAGATACCTGTTACTTTGGCACCTTAGAACACTACTGTGATTACTATTTTATCTGATTCTGTGTGACTGTTAAAAAGAAACTAATAAAAAAGGGGCTGTACATGTTTTTAAAATAATAAAAATTTATTTAATTAATATTAAATTAATTTTTTATTTTCAACAGTGAAACCTTCTAATTGATAGTATAAAAAGTGCTTTGACTTATTCAGGAGGGTTTTTATGATTAACATTTTTCAACTGTACTCCCCTTTATTCTATACACATCTGTTTTAAAGAAAAATTTTCTCTGCATCAGTTTTAAAATAAAGTCTATCCTTTCTGGGACTTAAAGGGACTTTATGAGACTTGATTCATTTTCATGTAAATAACATATTTTTTTTAGATGCTGCACATGATGGCTATGTTTTGTTGGTCCCTTTTAATAAAGCTGCAGAATCACTGACTAAATTTTACAAAGGCAAGTACAAAATTTCAAATAACCTTTTTCAACATTAACACATCATTTTATGTTTATATCTTTTATTTCTACAAATATTAACTGGCTATTAATTACTTAATTGGTTTAGTACTTGCAGTAAAACTAATTTAGGCCTACTGCTGCATACCAATAGCACAATGATTACAAAATGGACTTCACATGATGTACTCAATTTACTATATATATAATTTTTTTTCTTCCTGCCAGTGAGGAAGTTTTTTCTGCCTGTTCTCTGTAACTATTGATTAGATATAGTAAATTTTGGCTTTAGAATGACTTAGTTGATTGAGATCATTTTGATTTAAAAATTATTGTTATTAATTTTAGACTAAATTTTTCTCAAGGTTCATTTATTGCTACACTGATTAAAATTATAATTTTGTTAGAACAACTGTTACTGCAGAAATAGGTATTTCCTGACCCTCAGTTCAAGAAATGTACACATTTTCTGATTCTAGATAGTCTTAACAATGCTAGAGAGTGCCTAAGGCTGGGAGTTCAAAGTGGAAGAAGTAGCCGTGCTCGAGATATTGCTGCTTGGGCCAGGAAAAAAAGAAAATGTATACACAGAGATGAACTCTTGGCTTACTTGTGTGGTAAAACTTTACCATCCCACTCAAATCATCATAGAAATAGACAAAACAGAAGTATAGAACGACAGTTGCCTCGTCGTCCGTCACACCAGAGTGACACCATAGATTCAGGAGAATATCAAGTAATGGAGGCATACACGTTGCAAGGTACTGTAGTCTAAGCAAAATGTTCACCAGTAAATGTTAAAAAGTTGTGTGGGTGATAGACTGTGGTTAAATTTTATAAAAAAAAAAACAAGTCCTGTATCTAAATGCAGACTGATTTTGAATAGATATCTAGCCATAATTAGGTTCTTGAAATTTTGAAATTTTAATTTATATTCTGGCAGCTTTTATGCTCTCAGAGGTCTGTGCTTAAAAATATATCTTTTGATATCTTTAACATCATACATTTCATTTTTGTAATTACTGCAGAGAATCAAACATTTGATTATAATTTTTCTTTTTTATTTAACTTACTAATTAGTTTGTGATGCTTGTTGAATATGCAAATGATGTGTGCTTATATTTTATTTCAAAGGTCTGAATGGTGCAATGTCTAATATAAACATGGGTTATTCAAGACCAAGCACTACAACCTCTTGCACAGTGAGTTCATATTCAAGGCCAGCAGCTGTTGAGGACATTTTGTTTCATGATGAAAGAGCTCGTAGCTCAGAACACAGAAAACGTACTAGTTCCTCTTCAGCTATGGATGTCAATATGGAGTCACCATCTAGGAAACGCGGAAAATTTCTGTGAAAATACGGATGTACACAAAAAACCAATAACTTTGGTCAAATATTTTAGTTTATTACTTAGAGTGGCAAACAGTTAACAGTAGTTCATACACAATGCTGCAAAATGTTGTTATAGTGCCATCTGTATTGGAGTTTGTTTACTTTTGTCTATTCAGGTTTATTCAAAGAAATTTAAATAATTTTCAGTTGTCTTTACTAAAGTTAATTTATTTTGGCATAGTAAAATTAGACAGTGTTTGGTGCATCATTATAAGATCTCTTTGGTCCTGTAAACGGGAGGTGAAATGTACTTGAGAAGCTAAATTCAGTTCACAAGCAGAGGGAAGTTTTGGCTCTTGTAGAATTATTACTTAATTCATCTGTTTGGTGTTACTGGCAGTCAGCAAGTCCCAAAAACTATACATTACATCATGATTAATCATTCTTTTGGATTCAATTGGATGTTTAGAACTATGCTAACCATTTTCTCTAGACATGTATATTAACAAATAATGTGCTCAATTTCCTGCATTACTAAGAAATCCATAAATGCTGTCTTCAAGGCTTTGATGAAACTACTGTCAATATCACCAAACAAATATTCTAAAGTAAGGTAGACAATTCTAATAGATATAGGTAGATGTAAATATAATGCTGCATTTATATGAAACTTAAATTATACATCCGTACTTTACATTTTCTTTCAATATGTAGTAGCAAATATTTCCAAAATACTTATAGAAGTCGCACACGTACCATACTGTCCTCCTTTTAATGATAAATGTTATAAAAGGGTGTTTGCCTATTTATGCAATCTTGTGTAATTCACAAAGTTGGACAATTTTAAACTCTGTGGCATTGAGTGACATTAACTTTCTAAAGCTATTGTTGGTTATCAAACTGTTTGTGATTGAACACTAAAGGAATACACTATTGTTGTAGGTTTATCTCCTGTATACACTTTTCTTATCCAGTTGATTAAAATGTACATAAGTATGCATGCCAAATACCACTAGAAAAAGCAACTAATTGCAATCTCTTCATGAACTGTCAAAGTCTGCTGAATATAAAGCAGTTTCAACAATTTATTCCATTTTATACATCCAAGTTGTATATCATGCATTTTTGCTATTGTTTCATTTATTAACAAACAAGATAAACTTGGCGATTAACCGTTTTCCTGTAATTTGGTTAGCTAAATCACAATTCTTTTTAGCTGTGTTGGAAGAATGGCTTTTTAGTATCAAAACACAACTGAGACTAAGTCTAGATCTTGATGAAATCTGTTACAATTATAATTAACAAGAATTTATTTTCAAGCTTTTATTTAATTGACAATGTATATTAATCTCCAAATAATTATTAGATCTTTACTTTTGGGAACTAGAGTTATGACCTCCATTGTACATCTAAAACAAATAATTGGACATGATCCCTTGATAATTCTATATCTAAGATTACATATACTAAACACAGAAAGTACATTTACAGTGTATATATCAATCACATCATTAGAGGTATTCACTATAGATATTTTAACTCATAAATCCATCATTATAGGAATTGTTTTAAGATTTTATTTTGCTAATTTGTATTTTACAGTTTTAAAAATTCACTTTTCTTTATTTTCCTTGGGAACTTGGATAGCGCGTCTTTTGTATTTAAGTTTAGCTCCAACCTTCTTTGAGAACTGTTGTTTGCACTTATATATGAACATAATCATCAGAATGAATGGCAGTGTTGTGTGTTTCATGAATGTTATAAACACAAGCTTTGGTATGCAATTAGAAATTTTAAACTATACACATATTGGATTTTGTACAATAATTTAGCAGTTTTCATTTGAAAGTTTTCTATTGATATATAAATACTCATTTGATGATAACAGGCTGCATTCTTTTTACCACTTCCACAAGCCTAAGTTTAACAGTAAATTATTACTTCCTGATGGTAGTTTGGGGAGGGGGGAGAAAATTCAATTAAAATAAAAATATTATTGTAAATATGAAGGAATAAATGTATGTGCACCTCCATATGTCCGGTAATGGTGAAATTGATAGTGATTGTGTTTTTAAAAAATCTGATATATCCTCACTGTATTGTTCACTGGATGAGTGGTTGATACAAATGTTTCATTAAATAATTGTACTTGTCATTAAGTAAAAAGACATGCAGCCCAAAAAAAATATTCGTAATGGGATGCTTTTATGCCAGATAAGAATTTGTTAAATTCTTTTTTTGATTTTTGGCAATGTCTGAGCAAAATGTTCAGAACTAGGCCCTGTGATAGGACTGGCAACATTTGAAATAAAGATTAATCTTTTTCACTTATACTCTAACTCTTATAATTTTTTTGTTGTATATTGTCATTGTTAAAAATAAAAGGAGTAATAAAGTAAGGAATGTGAAAGCTTTAATTGGTACTGATACCATGGGAACTCTTGAAAACTAACAGGAGTAATAAAGTAATGTGAAAGCTTTAAATGGTACTGATACTATGGGAACTCTTGAAATAAGCCTGCTCATGGAGCTTTACTTAATCAATTTGACTCAACAGATCCCAGGGATCTCTCATTTCTGTCTGTAGACGAACACACATCAACAGATGTTTGATATAGTATTGTACTGGCTACACAAGCCCTTCACATGGAATACCAATAGAAATCTGCGATAGCTAAATCTTTCCAAATGATTGATGTTCTATAGGTCTTACCAAATGATAGATGTCCCATAGTATAGGTCTTGCCAAATGATTGATGTCCTATAGGTCATAACAAAAATATTTGATGTCCTATAGGTCTTGCCAAATGATTGATGTCCCATAGTATAGGTCGTGCCAAATGATTGATGGCCTATAGGTCATAACAAAAATAATTGATGTCCTATAGGTCTTGCCAAATGATTGATGTCCTATAGGTCTTACCAAATGATTGATGTCCTATAGGTCTTGCCAAATGATTGATGTCCTATAGGTCTTACCAAATGATTGATGTCCTATAGTATAGGTCTTACCAAATGATTGATGTCCTATAGTATGGGTCTTACCAAATGATTGATGTCCTATAGTATGGGTCTTACCAAATGATTGATGTCCTATAGGTCATAACACAAATGATTGATGTCCTATAGGTCTTACCAAATGATTGACATCCTATAGGTCTTACCAAATGATTGATGTCCTATAGGTCATAACAAAAATGATTGATGTCCTATAGGTCTTACCAAATCATTGATGTCCTATAGGTCTTTCCAAATGATTGATGTCCTTTAGGTCTTACCAAATGATTGATGTCCTATAGGTCTTTCCAAATGATTGATGTCCTATAGGTCTTTCCAAATGATTGATGTCCTATAGGTCATAACAAAAATGATTGATGTCCTATAGGTCTTACCAAATGATTGATGTCCTATAGGTCTTACCAAAAACGATTGATGTCCTATAGGTAATGCTGCCTTATTTTAACCAGTAAACGAAAAAAAAAGTTTTATTTAAACATTGTATTACATACTCTCCAGTGTCGTAAGACTCAGAGCTACCCACATTTCTCTGGCGTCAGCACGTGAGAGTGGGCAGTGTACCTGGGAAAAAAAACTACCCCCCCCCCCCCCCAGGTGGCTCAAGAGAGCTGAACTCTACGCCACTTCTCAAGACGATATCAATTAATTGCCCTCAGATCTCAACGTTCCTGGACCAGGACTAAGGGCTAGCCGGGCAGTGGGACAAGCATGACGACAGAGCGCTAACACAATTTTGACTGGACTGGAAAGCCATCTGTCCGTGACGGGCTTGATGTTGGGGTAGGTCCTTGATACCAGTTCAATATAGGTCACTGTGATGGGGTAGGTCCTTGATACCAGTTTAATATAGATCACTGTGATGGGGTAGGTCCTTGATACCAGTTTAATATAGATCACTGTGATGGGGTAGGTCCTTGATACCAGTTTAATATAGATCACTGTGATGGGGTAGGTCCTTGATACCAGTTTAATATAGATCACTGTGATGGGGTAGGTCCTTGATACCAGTTTAATATAGATCACTGTGATGGGGTAGGTCCTTGATACCAGTTTAATATAGATCACTGTGATGGGGTAGGGCCTTGATACTTGTTCAATATAGATCACTGTGATGGGGTAGGTCCTTGATACCAGTTTAATATAGATCACTGTGATGGGGTAGGGCCTTGATACTTGTTCAATATAGATCACTGTGATGGGGTAGGTCCCTGATACCCGTTCCGTATATAGCACGGCAGGGGCGGAACTACAGTGCCGCCAGACCCCAATGCGGGGGGGGGGGGGGAGGACGCCATTTAGGGGCCCACAGCCGACCATAATAATTTTTTTTATAGTAAAAAAAAAATTTCTTGCATTTTTGACTTGATGGTTGTTTTGTAAAAAAAAGATTACCATAGCTGCGGTTGGTTTATCTTTATTCTATAGACAACAACCCACGCTCTTGTATATTCTTTTTCCCTTTGTTTTAAAAAAACTGTGAAAGCCGAGTCCTCTTTCTCCTACAATCGAACTTATCAAAGATAAGCAAACGTTCGAACCACTTCCGTGACTTATTTCCCTTTTTAAATATTCAGATAGGGGTGCTCATAAGCTCCTTTTAATAGATTTCTACAAAACAAATTAAAACGCAATTACTTCTCTTAACTATTATTTTTGTATAAAGTACTTACTAAAGTACTTTAAAATTAATAATATAACTACAAAAAAACATAAAAATAAACATAACACGAGACACGATTTTTTATACAAAGCTTTCATGTTTTATATTCTTTTGACCGACTAGAGGTTAAGATCAGTGTTTCTTTCAGACTTTTTTCTCCGGGGGGGGGGGGGGGCACTTGAAATTTTCGGGGGCGGGGGCGGTAGACTTTCTTCGGGCGGGGGGCGGACACTGTTAAAAGTATATATTTTCTATATAAATTATATAAATTGCATTTCGTTCAAGGGGGGTGGTAAACTTTTTTCGGGGGGGGGGGGGGGGGGGCGGCTTAGCCCCCCCCCCCCCGAAGAGATGCCTGGAAGAAACTCTGGTTAAGATGCCTAACAGCAAAGATAAAATAAGACTGATTTTCACAAAACAGACTAATGCACTTACACACATGACATAATGTTGTAATTTGTTTTAATAGATACATTTTTTTTTTCAAAACCCAAACAGGCCAGCAATGTGTATCCTATGTTCGTATTTTGAGTTTAAATATATGTTTTATATATATATATATATATATATATATATATATATATATATATATATATATATATATATATATATATATATATATATATATATATATATATATATGGGGGGGGGGGGGGCTAAACATATTTTTTGCGGGGTGGCCATTTTTTCTAGTTCTAGTTCCGCCACTAGGGCACGGTGTTGGGGTAGGTCCTTGACACCGGTTCCATCAGTTTTCTGTGAGCACCTGGCCCAGGCCAATGATGGATACGACTACACTAGGACAGTCAGCTGGACCAACGTACTCAGCATTGGTTGGTACCCCTGGCCCAGGGTGACGAGAGGCGAGGGGGTGAGTTGGAGAGGTAAGAAGAGTGGGGGGGGGGAATATAGTCTTGCGTTTCTGCAAAATTAATCATTATTTAGAAAATATACTGTTTTAGAAGTTTAAGGGTCGAGTCGGTAAAGCTCATGGTTGCTAAATGAAAAGTCTTAGTTCGAACTCTCAGGCTGATGAGGCTCGATAGCTGGGGTCAGCAACTCTTCTAGGAGAGACAACTCCAAAATTAAACAACTGCTGCCTTGTAGTTTGTTATTGGTTGGACAAAGGCTATGGAAGCAAATCCAAAAAGAAAAGCAGGCTGAAATCGGAGTCAACGGATAACAAGTTGACACGTATACTTAACTGTGTTTGAGGGAATCTCTTCCAACGCTAAAATTTAGAAAGCAAAAGAAGTTTAAATAGTATAGCATCAGTGCCGCTTGCTTGGTATCCGTCGGGATAACACAATAATTATCATTGCTAAAACAAAATTTGAGTTACTGTTTGAATGATGTCACCAATTTCAAAATTAAAACCTGAAGGGAAGTAATTTTCATAACAATTGTAAAACACTTAAAACTCAATTACCTCCCATCCAATAGCCCGACTTATTTGTTTTCGAGAACTTTCAAAAATTGTATTGACAAAAAAAAACAAAAAAAAACAACCTAGAAAAATAATCTTGTCCTCAGCTATCACACAATAAATAAAAACGATTACAGAGTAGAACCACATGTAGCTTATTCGATATATTTAGTAAAGAAAAAATTAGACCGAAATAAAATATTAAATATATTAAGGGGCAGTATCACCCAGACTAAGGGAAATAAACAAAATAATTTATAAAGAAATTTATCAAACTTATCTAAAGTACATTTTTAAGATGATAAAAATAATTTTAAAATCATAATGCAAAAATCCAAAAAATCCAAAAAATGTATTGACAAAAAACCTAGATCACACAATAAATAAAAACGATTACTGAGTAGAACCACATGTAGCTTATTCGATATATTTAGTAAAGAAAAAATTAGACCGAAATAAAATATTAAATATATTAAAGGGGCAGTATCACCCAGACTAAGGGAAATAAACAAAATAATTTATAAAGAAATTTATCAAACTTATCTAAAGTACATTTTTAAGACGATAAAAATAATTTTAAAATCATAATACAGTATATAATTTAGAAAAAATACATATAGCAAACAATATTAAAAAATTACGTAACTAATATTTTTATACATTTCTTAATCTGTTGTAAACAATTGTTTTGTAAATTAGTTTTTAGAAAATGTTTGCTTTATATAAGCAGCATTGAACGTTATTGTATAATTAGTATGTATTTTGTTTATCCCGAGTTGAGGCTGACTTTAAAAAAATTCTAAAAAAAAAAAAAAAAAAAAACTTTAAAAAAATTCTCACATTTTTAAAACTGATGAAAAATAATTATCATTAACAAATTAAAAAAAAACCCACGTTTTCTGATGGAACTAAAAAGTAGAAAATAAATGCTATACATCACAATAATGCAAGCGATCATTTTACTATAAACGATCGCAAACTCAACAACCATCCTCGCAGCAAACATTGGTACCTCCAAACCTGTCGAACCAAAAGGCGATGCCAAGTACGTCTGCACCGTAGTCACCAACTAAAGCATCAACAAAAATTCAAAACACTGAAGCAACAAGCCCAGATTCCGAAATAGAAATAGATAACACCTTGCCAATGAAAAGAAAAAATGAAATCATCCCCACAGAACAAGGGAAATAAACAAAAAAACTCGCACATCTAATCTTCGATCACCTGAC